AGGCCCAGAGAAGGTGGCAGCATTTCTGGATCCTGTTCATATATGGTTTCTTCTTTGTGTTTTAGAGTTTTAACTTGCATTTGTGGAGTGATGAACTGTTTTCACAGACAGTGTTTTTCAGAAGTGTTTCTGAGCCCATGCAGTGATTTCCTCTACAGAATCATGTCTGTTTTTAATGCAGTGCTGTCTGAGGGCCCAAAGATCACGGCCAGCAAATACTGGTTTTTGGCCTTGTCCCTTACATACAGAGATTTTTCTTTTCATGATCTTTTGTACCGTAGACGATGAAAAGCAAAAGTTCTTTGCTGTTTTACACTGAGAAACGTTATTCTTGAATTGTTGCACTATTTGATGGTGCAGTCTTTCACAGAGTGGTGAACCCCTCCTCATCTTTACTTCTGAAAGACTCCGCCTCTCTGAGATGCTCTTTTATACCCAATCATGTTACTGACCTGTTGCCAATCAACCACCAGGTGTTTTTTTTTTTTTTTACATTACACAACTTTACCAGGCTTTTGTTGCCCCGTCCCAACTTTTTTGGAACATGTTGTCTGCATCAAATTCAAAATGGGCAAATATTTTTCAAAAACAATTAAATTTCTCAGCTTCAACATTTGATCTGTTGTCTTTGCACTATTTTCAATCAAATGCAGGGTTTAAATGATTTGCACATCATTGCATTTTGTTTTTTTATTTACATTTTGCACAGCTTCACAACTTTTTTGGAAATGGGGTTGTACATTTAAGTATACTGACCCAAAAAAAACACTTTTTATGTCGGCAAAACTGCAGATTTTGCCTTTAATACAGACGTCTGTAGCAATTATGTAAGTGCTTGTGCAACATTACATTCAGTGAAAGGCTCTAAAGGGTTCCAATCCGAATCCTCACCCAAACGAAGGAGCTGCAAACCTGTGTCAGCTTTTCATCACATCTTACCCGCTGTGCTCGGACAGAGCTGCTATAACCGTTTTTTTGGTTAAATAAAGTGATTTTGGACTTGTGAGGTTGAACCTGAAGCTCTTCACCACTGCATCACTACCACAGCTCATACCACAGCTTTCAGAACTGTTATTATCACTGGTACAATGTTCAAAATGCAGAAATCATTTAAATGAGTCTTATTAAAATTTTTCCAGTTTGTGTGGGTTCATCAGCAGGCTCATGTTGATGTTTCTAACAATGTAATTTACGACACCTTAAATTTGTTTGCATTGCTGTAGGATTTCGCATTATTTGCCTCATTAAGCAGGTGGCAAGTAAAGTCCTCTCGGAGAGTTCAAATAAACGCAGTCTATTCTCCAGTCATTTATACACGTCTGAAGTCTGATCAGGGTGTGGAGGCTGTAGAACCGACCGAGAGGAGATCAAGTTGCTCAACAGAAGTTGCACTGAGGACCATTCTACACTAGAAGTTGCTAAGAGACCAGAGCGGACATATTCAGAAACACAACATAGTTCAAGAACATCTCTCTCCCAACATGACTTCTTCCCATTCACACCAACCTCCACGCAGGTTTCAAAAGAAGGTCATTCAACAAAAACTTCTCTCCTTCCTACAACAGCCATGCAACTGTGTTTTATTATACAGCCTTTGTATGCCAGTCTGCACAGGCCGAAAAGACACTAAAGTGGGCCTGTAGTGGTCAAACTGATACGCTGAGATTTAATTAGATGTGATATCGGATCTGTTAACTAACCAAGTAAACGACATCGCTTATCAGACGTGCTGAATGTTGGGCTATACAAACACTAAACGTGTTATTTACTAGAATGTCGTCTTAATCTGTCCACAGCATCTAACGTACTCCATATGACATGAAACTGGGGCAGCGCAGTGAATCCGAACCGAGAAAGGCAACGTTGCAATGGCAACCGATATTCAGCAGCTTGACGCCAATAATTATTTAAATCTCACAGAAGTAGCAATTAACTCCCCCGTGACCTGCTCCAGCTAAATATAATTATCTGGCATAGAACCCGCATAGTAATAGGTGTCTTAATGCTCAGTGATGTTTCAAAACAGCCAGTATGCGGTGGGCTGAAGTGGCCAGCTAACTAACTCGGGAACATTAATTATAGGAAATCTGAATTATTCCATTTTAGGTTTGCAGTCCACACTGAATACACTGAACGTGGTGCTATTGACTGGAAGTCCAACTAATGCTGCTTTCTTTCTTTTTTTTCTCCCAGAAGCAAAGGAGGTTGGCTGTGCAACGTTAAGGCTGTATTAATTGCCATCCTCAGCAGGACGGTAGGTAATTCAGGTCTGTTTGGGATCAGCGTGATACGACGGCGTTTTAGGGCCACTGCTAAAAAAATAAAAATAGTAGAGTTCGAGAAAAAAGTCGTAATATTTCAGAAATACCAGGAAAGGTCACAATATTGTGGCCAAAGGCTTTGCGAAGGGAAGCAGCCCCTCCTGGTGTTAAATGAGGGGCGGTGAGTTGGTGGAGTTAGACTTTCATATCGATTCACCCATAAAGAAACACTCAGTCTCCCTGTCTCTCCTGCACATCAGCACCAGCCTGTTATTAGTATAAGAACCGGCTGAAACGGCTGAGCAGGAAACTGAGTTTACCTAGAATAAAGAGCCAGACGGACTCGGAGGAAACTGTCTGTCTGTGTTGTTGAAGGAGAATCTCAGGCAGGGTCGTCTACACGGCTGTCGGGGCTCCATCTCCCCCCATTCAGAGAGGACATGAAGTTTCACAGACAGTGAGAACGATGATCAAAATTGGAGCTCAGCCCTTAACCCAGTCCCCTCTGTCAGCTGGTTCTGAGACTAACTAACCCACTGACCCCTAACACACAGTAGCCTCGGTCCAGCACTGCCAAATTATCAGACACAGTAAAAACACCTATCTGGAACATTGGGACAGCGAAACCAGAACTCAGTCTAAATTACAGAACTATCGGGCCCTAAACAGAGTCTGGACTGGCAGAGTGTCTCTTCACCATCAGAGACCCACAGGAGAGACAGATCCTGACCAAGTACAGGCTCAGTGACCACAGTCTGGCCATAGAAACGGGCAGAGAGAAGACTGTGCGGTCACTGTGAGAGCGGTGAGGTCGAGACAGAGCTGCACTTCCTCCTTCAGTGTGAAAAATTCAAATTTGCACGAAAAAATTTCATAATAAAATTAAAAAACATTCTCCCAAATTTTGAAATTCTAACAGAATCTGAAAAACTACCAGTCGTCCTTGGAGAAGGCGGCACAGCGTCTCTCGCTGCGAAATAGGTGGCAGCTTGTCACGGCCTGAGGGACAGTAACACACCCCACACCCCCACCTCCCTGACCCCCCAAACCCTTCACTGTATATAGGTTAAATACACCGATTGTAATTATTTTTATTATATAAGTTGTCTTATTTTATTTACTGTATTTATTAATTTACTTTACCAAGCTTTACAACATTTATTATATTGTCTTATTTTATTTATTTAGTTCATTTATTTTAACATTGTTGCTGTTATTTCAATGACCATTACCATTGTTAATATTAATTACAGTACAGCAACCGAGACCCCCACGCGTTATGGCAGCCCCCCACAGTTAGACTACTTTATCCTCCAAATATTACGACTTTCTTCTCGAAGTCCGCTGTTTTTATTTTTATTATCAGAGGCCCTAAACGCCGCCGTGGAGTGAAACGCTTTGGCCTTTATCAGATGAAGCACAGCTGAGCTGGGTTTGGCTGCGCACGGCTCTACTCAACACCAGCTTCAGCGGCCCGGCAGCAGGTTAACTCGGTTCTCTGTGAAATCAGAGTGAAGCCCATTTAAAAAGCGTTCCTTCGCCTTTAGGAGCCAATCAGACAGCCTTTTCACTAACCCAGACCTCTCTAAAGCTAGCGTAAGAGTTCTGTATTCCGTACAGTATTTCGGCATTTTTCGCGTTTTAGTAGTTATTGCGGAAATACCCGAAGTCATACACGATTTAATGATTGGTTGGACTCTGCAAAATCTGCCTAGCAACCAATAAGCACTTTGATTGGCCACATTTGGACCAATACTTTTAAAGAAATAAGAAAAAAGCGTCATCTGTGTCGGTGTGCAGTCAGTACTCCCTACACCAGCTTCCCCAGAGGGAGCGGTTTTCCCTGCAGTTTATTAAAAGTTTTATGAAATCTAATTGCATAAAAATAGACATTAACTGATTATACTGATTATAAAAGTGAATTAATATAAACAATGTGTGCAGTGAATGAGGCTACCATGGAAAGAAGCCCAGTAAAGTGAGGCAGTGCTGTGAAGCTGCGCAGCTGAAAGGAGTCTGCTTAGATTAACAGCTCAGTACTGAACACGCTGTGTTTCATGGTGATGGTCCATTGTTTAAGTGTTAAATGTGATATTTAAACGTGCTAAAACACATTTTAACCGGCCGTGAAAGTTTCCCCCACCCCACTCACATTCGCATCCCTGGGTTTCCCCACTCGCCATGTTCGGGTCACGCCGGGGGTCGGTCACTATCTGCATAGATTTGACGTCCAAACCCAGCTTAGATGGTCTTTCCAACCGATTTGACGGAAAAAGGGATTTCTGACAATGTCTCAGCTGCATCTTTGACAAATGTCAAGAAAGTGTTTTTTATTACACAGACAGAAATATGTGCCAGTGTACGGAACACGGTGCTCTTACGTTACCCAGGTTAGCCGGCCGGGTCTGCCGTCGAGAAAGGGAGATTAAAGTTGAGTCGCGACGCTAAAACTTCGGCGAGGGTCGCCTTGGCGCGCCGTTAGTCGCGGCTCTCCGGTAAAGAGGAGAGTAGACCGTTCTACCTGGTTCTTAAGCAGCCGGTTGGGAGTTTAGACGCCGTCTTAGTTTTAACTTGTTGAAAATCAGCCCGCTAGCTTAGCTTAGCCACACTGCCGCTCCAGCGTGTGTTGCCATGGCAACCGTCTTAGCGCTAACCAGGCTAACTTAGCTGGTCCAAAATATCCACAGCAGAAGATTTGTTACACGACAAAGTTCTCCTTTAAACAAGCCGTATACTCACCTCCCGTAGCGGCTGTGCGGCTGAGTCCCTCGAGTAAAGCCGTCTCTGCTCATTGAAAAACCCGCCGCGCCGAGTTTCACTCAGTCCGGCGAGACTCTGAAGTTTGTCTCCCTCAAGGCGAGAAGCTCCAGCTGCGGCGCTGACTGAGGAACGAGAGCGCCCCCCACAGGCCAGCGGCCAACTGTCGAAAGTCCCCACAGCTCCATCTTTAACCCTTAACAACCCAGCGGTGACGAAAGCACACAGACCAGGTACTGGAGTTAAAGTAGAGACACCCAAGGTACAATATTACTCCAGTAAAAGTAGAAGTTCCTCCCTTTAGACCTCCACTTGAGGAAAAGTACAGAAGTATTTGCCTTCAAATGTACTTAAGTATCAAAAGTAGAAGTACTAAAAGATTAATTATGGCTCTGATGTCCTATTATCATTTTTTGTAACAAGACTCGCTTCATTAACTCATTTTGAGGTGAAAATACTCCAGTGTCTCTCTTGGTAAACCAGTCTTTTAATAGAGTCATTAATTAGTGACGCTGTTGTCTATTAAAATTATCATCAGCACAAAACACTGAAGGAAACAGTTTTAAGTAGAACTGAGTGGCTCTGAAATCACTTTTTACAAACAAACAAAGTTTCAGTTTAAGATTTATTTACAAGTTTAAGTTTGAATAAAAACTTTAAACTCAGATTCACAAATGAGTTTCCTTTACTAAACTGCATCTGTAGGTCTCTGTTCATAAACATAAACTAGCCAAAACTAATTTACTATAAAATGAAATGTGTTTGTTTAAATTCAGAAAAAGACACGTCAGTCACGACTGCATATGAGTACATATTTCTATATTGTGGTCTGTTTACACAAAGTTAGGTTAGTTCATCATTTATGTTGAATAGACTCTCCCAAAATTTTACGCTGCTGCCCTGATGTTGATGCTGCACTGGGTCGGTATGACCAACAGGTCAAAACAAGCTCAAAACAAAGTGACCGCTGTGCCCTGATTGGTGTTCTTGCTTTGTGCTTCTTTCATTTTGACATGTTACGTTTTTATACACACATAAACCAAAAGGAACGACAGATTTCTCATAATGTAGCGGAGTAAAAAGTGAGATATCTGACTTTGAAATGTAGTGGAGTGAAAGAAAAAAGTCACCAAAAATGGAAAAACTTCAGTAAAGTACAGATACACAAAAAACTACTTAAGTACAGAAATGAATTACATTTACTTTGTTACTGTCCACCACTGTAAAAACATTAAAAATTTCATTACTCATAATTTGAACAAAACTATTTTACAAAAACTAACGTTAGTACAATAAGACTGACCTTATAAAGGGTTTGTTAATGGTTCAAAATGAACTTAGTTTATTAATGGTTATTAATCAGGTCATAAACACCTTATAAATCATTAACAAGCTGTTATTACACATAAATAAAAAGGGCAGTGACCTTGCCGAATAGTGAGCCCACATTGATCTATAATGTTCTGTATCTATAAGTCCAGAATGTTGTTTACTGACCTTCATTTGTCTCCATCAGTCATTATTAAACCTGGCAGCTTCATTATTGTTCATATTCATATCCGTAAGATAGAACAGCTCACTGTTGCCCTTTTTATTTATGTGTTATAACTGCTTTGTAAAGTGGTACCGAATTTGTCTTTGGTGGGCTTCACTTGGTGTTTGTGCCCCCAGTGCGCTCGCTGTAGTGAATGTTCATTGGTATTTGTCTCCATCTGGTGGAGGCCCACAGCACTACAGGATGTAGCTGAATTTCTGTGAATTACATCAAAGTACAAGAATCCTTGATATGCTAACCCACAAAAAATGTAGTTCCATGACCACAGGACAGTTTTTCCCATCAATATGCTTGTTTTCATTGCAAATATAGGCCAAATTGGGGATACGGAGAAAACGCAACACCACAATACTTCAAGACATTTTCACAACACACTGTTTACTGAGATTTTCTGCCTGTTCCAAGTTATCAAAGCACAAGGAGTGTCACATTTTAAAAATACTGTCAAAAACTGTTTAAAAAGTCAGCTTTTCATTCCACCGACTTTTCTGCATAGTTAATCATTTACATAGAAACAGTCATTCAAGTGTTTTGATGTGAAAGTGGTTCATTGTAGAAAAGCTGACCGACTCAGATTTCTTTACTGTTGTGGTGATAGGAACCCAGGGTGACAAAACAGATATAGCCATTTTATTTTCCACAGTTTCTAAAATGATCAGTGTAGCAACACGAGTACTTTTATAGTGGTAAAAATTCTATTTTGCCTTTTCAACAGAAATCTTATATGAAAACTGTTATAAAACAATGCCATAGCCATCAAGTTTTATATCCTTAACTGTTTTGTGTGATCACTTTCTGTAAGGTAGAGTTTACAGGGATTAAGTACTGTGGACGTCTGGTTCCTTTCACTACTACTGTCAACAATTCTGTAACTGTCTCTGCAACACAGCATCTCCCATCAAACTACTCTGAATGACTTTCATTACATCTTTATTTAATTATGGAGAAATTTAGAAAAATGTGGTTCAGAATTCCTCTTTAAGTATAAGATATTCATTTTTCAGCATCAGAAAAAAAACAGAAAAGATATCATGTCATCTTTTCACTGTTTAATGTGTCCACAGCTTCCATTTTTGGGAGACTTTCAGTTTTTCAAAGAAATCTGCAGGAATACTCCAAAGTTCAGTCTTAGAAGTTGGTTACATTTACTGCTTCTCACGATTCGAGTGATCCCAAACACATTCAATAATGTTGAGGTCTGGACTCTGGGCTGGTCAGTTCATGGTTCTAAGACCACCAGAGGCTTTTTTGCTTGCTTTGCAGATTTTCTCAGGGAGGCTTGTTGACGGCTACACATCCTCTCAGACCCACAGTTGTCCTCTCACAGTGGAAGGATGGACAGTAACACCCGTGAGTTGTTTACAGATCTGAAGCAGCTTGATTTTCTCCAAAAATGAAAGGTTTCAGTTCTGTTTATTTGTTGTTCGGAGCCCCGTTTTCTCTGTATTTTTGTAGTTTTGGTAACTCGTCGTAACTGATTACTTTTCCTTTAACTTTTCTTTTTCCTTCCTTAAACAAGTAAATTATCTTATCTAATCTTTTCAGAAACATCTCACGAGAAACAAATAACTTGTAATTTATGGCAGGTTTGCCTTAAGGTAATAAATGAAGGTTGACTTTTGCACAGTATACATACCTGTGTATGTAGGTTGTGTGTGTGTTTGAGAGAGAGAGAGAGAGAGAGAGAGAGAGAGAGCAATGAAAACTGGTATTTATTTTTGTTAACATGTGACTCAATTTTACAAGACAGGAGATAAAATATAACAAGATGACTCGCTTTTATTCAGAGAACAGGCTGAGCAGAATTTCAGAACCCATGCGATACAACTAAGGAGCGAAACAACAGTAAATCTCCACACCACAGTGTTCCAAACCCACACAGTCTCAAGGTCGACCCGAGTTTCTGCCCCGCACTAAAGATAACAATCTCCAGATGAGGGGCAGCATTGCATGCAAATTGTCATTAAAGCTCTTTATATACTTAAAGCATCTTGGTCTTAATTACTACAGTGCTGGCATCCACTGACCTCACTGTGCTGTGGATTATAAAGATTAACTTCAAAGTGAATCAGTAAATTGGGCTTTATCAGTCAAGAAAAATAGACCATCAACTGTAGTTGTGCCATCCAGCTCCAGGCAGTGGACCAACAGTTTCAAGGATCAAAAAAAAATAAAAAAAAATAAAATGGGTTTACCAACAGTGCTCCTTTAATGCTTTAAATAATGCTTTTAAATACAATGATGCTGTATCAAAAACATCGAGCGCGATCATTCATCATTCCTCAACAATGAATGCCGAAACTGACAGCCTTTGAATAACGAGCGTCAATACTGACCATGGAACGCTCTGCTGCAGGTATAAGTATCTATATGTCATTCACTTATTACACGCATTCCATTTCAGCTACATAAAGAAAGGCTCAAGCCCACTTTTGTTCTTTCTCCAGAGAAAAGTCATTTTATCCATTGTAGAAACACAAAATGAGAACCAGTCAACACAAGAATGCCACAGCTGAAATGCGAGATTTATTTGAAGTCGTATGCCATAAGCTGTTGTTGGGGAGGCAATTTGCGCATAATTCTCACCTCATTACTCCAGCCAGAAAGATGAAATTTGCTCAGACGTTGTTGTTGCATTCCTTGATGCAAACCCAGACCCTTAACCATAGAGGGCTTTCAGAGAGAGAGAGAGAGAGCAAAATATACACACGGCACTTTGAAGTGAAGAGGAAAAACCTCCAGCTTTTGTAAACATTCCCCATCTTCGGTAATGATATTTGAAATCTGATTGAAGTATATACATGCAGCAGATGAAAAGGGTTTCAGAGGAAGATTTGGTTACCTGGAGCTCTCAGCTTTTCCGACTTCGCTAAAAGCACGAGGGCATGGAAGTGATTTCACATATGAAAGCAACGAGTGTGGATATCATTTAAGTTCATTGTTCTCAAGACAATGTAACTTTTGGACACATTAGCCGTGTCATTGATTTAACGTCATTAGACATATTGATGAGTAATGCTCATGGGAATTACACTACACCGATCAGGCATGACATTCTGACCACCTCCTCGTTTCTACGCTCATTGTCCAGTTTATCAGCTCCACTTACTATATAGGTGCACTTTGTAGTTCTACAGTTACAGACTGTAGTCCATCTGTTTCTCTGATACTTTGTTAGCCCCCTTTTACCCTGTTCTTCAGTGGTCAGGACCCCCATGGACCCTCACAGAGCAGGTACTATTTGGGTGGTGGGTCATTCTCAGCACTGCAGTAACACTGATGTGGTGGTGGTGTATTGGTGTGTGTTGTGCTGGTGCGAGTGGATCAGACACAGCAGTGCTGCTGGAGTTTTTAAATACTTTGTCCACTCACTGTCCACTCTGTTAGACACTCCTACCTTGTCAGTCCACCTTGTAGATGTATAGTCAGAGACGATAGCTCATCTGCTGCTGCGCAGTTTGTGTTGGTCATCCTCTAGTCCTTCATCAGTGGTCGCAGGACGCTGCCCACAGGACGCTGTTGGCTGGATGTTTTTGGTTGGTGGACTATTCTCAGTCCAGCAGTGACACTGAGGTGTTTAAAAACTCCAGCAGCACTGCTGTGTCTGATCCACTCGTACCAGCACAACACACACTAACACACCACCACCACGTCAGTGTTACGGCAGTGCTGAGAATGACCCACCACACAAATAGTACCTGCTCTGTGAGGGTCCATGGGGGTCCTGACCACTGAAGAACAGGGTAAAAGGGGGCTAACAAAGTATGCAGAGAAACAGATGGACTACAGTCTGTAACTGTAGAACTACAAAGTGCACCTATATAGTAAGTGGAGCTGATAAAATGGACAATGAGCGTTGAAACAAGGAGGTGGTCAGAATGTCATGCCTTATCAGTGTATATGGCACGTCTCCCAGGCGGTGACCATTTGCTTGAAATAATTCTCAGTGAGTCAGTTTCTCTCCCTTTAATACATTTCGTAGTAGCAGTCATGCCTATACAGAGTACGCTATTGGCTGCTTTCCTCTAGTAATCAGACTATCTTTGATTACTGTCTGTTGCCATTTTTGCATACAGACACATCCAAAAAGAGATTAGACTCAAGGTAACTTGCCCAAGCTACAATATCGTTCCCAATTCATGTAAGATTGCCCCAATATTTCTTGTGTCCTTTCGTGTCTGTGTTCAGACAGACTTCCTCCGCTTTCCAAAGACATTGTTAATAAGCTTGGCCATGGACTTTGAGCCGCTGTAGCGTCTGCGGTCAGATCTGTACTTCATTTGTTCCATCACGTGACGGATGAGTTTAGTGAAGAGGTTTGCGATGTCCAGGTAGTTCTCAGCAGCGGACACCTCCTGGAAGAGGCACTTGTGCTCCAGGGCTAGAGATCGGCCCTCTTCCTCACTCACCTGCCGACTGTGGCACAGATCCTGCTTATTCCCCACCAGGCAAATGGGTACATCCATCTCACTGTCCAAATATAAACCAATCATATCACATCAGGACTCCACCACAGAACAACAGCCTTCATAAGGAGAAACAGTAGGTGGAACAGTAAACACTCAAAGCTTAAGTTGATCTTAACGGTCTGCTATGCTTCGCCCACCACAGATCACGTTCCACCAGTGTTCAGTATTACACTGAAAGGCATTGTTAAGAAACTAGCCAGCACAGCAAGTATCATACCGCGACCAGTACATAACACACTGAAAGGAAATAGCTATAACTAATCAGAAGCACTCGATCCACAGATAACATTAGAATGAGAGGTACTTTTCTGGGGCTACCAAAGGAGCATCAGAAAGCATGATGTCCTGCTCCAGTGATTGATTGGTTTGGAAAACCAAGTATGGAAGCCATGAGATAGACTTGAGGTGGAAGACAGAGGGGGGGAAAACTCCCACAGAAGGAACCGCGGCTCACCATCTCTTTGTGTGAAGCGTCAGGCCATTATGGTTGTATTTGAGGGAACACATTAGACAGAACTAGGTTCTAGCCACCCATGTGATTTCAATTGCCTTGTTTGAGGACTCTAATAGGATCCAGCTGTCCAGCCTCACACTCTTACTCACCATTGTCTCCAGATGACTTTCAAATGACACAACAACTGAAAGCCCAAACCTTTCTGACTTTTACAGCTCTCTAATAAGGGAGTCGGCTTGAAAAAAATGGAGCTTATTGGATTTAGTTGAGCCCAGTGGACCAATTAGAGTTGTGATTCACTACATCGAGAATAATGGGCACAAAATTTGTCTCATCCTTGACTTTCATCACAGACAACCAAATGCATGTACATCCAGTTAGAGTGTGGCACTTTCTAGTCTGTCTCTTGAGCTCTTGCATCTGCATAGTTCTAAGCAGACAGCCTCCCCTCCTGCCCCACAAACGGTCTTCATTAATTCATTAAAGCTTTGCCCTCCTATTCTGGTCCGCATGAGCTGTCAGGTAAGCAGGGTACGACAGTGACTGTTACTCACCCTTTGCAGGTCTCCCTACGGCTCTCTTTGATTTGGTGCAGGATGTTCTTGGCATTGAGGAAGGTCAAGCGGTCGCTGATGGTGTACACCACCACAAAACCATCAGCCCAGTCCATAGGCTCCTCCAGGATGCATCTGCTCTCTCCACTCTGCCGGGAAGAGAAGGGGCACACGGGGGGGGGCCTTGTCAACAACATCGCGTGTCTCTGAAGACCTGCCTGACTGAATGGAAAACTGGACATCATGGCAGCGCCTGGGTCTGGGTTAATTAACATCGGTCCCTTTAGAGAGCATTGCAGGGCCGGAAAACAAAGGGAGAGCAGCTCCGCACACGTTTGAAGCTTACAGCACCCTTCGGTTCTCTAAATGAGCTAATGTCATTTCAGGATATCTGTTCTGCAGGGCTTTGACCGCATACAAAGACTTGTTGCATCCCCCAAAGAACCCCCCAAACGTTACAAAGCAGGACAGTGGTCATCTCATAATCTGGGCTTTGAGAATCAAAGTCCAGCAATAAGCACTTAAATAAGAGGTCCCAGATGCAGTGGCTATAAGCAGAAAGAAGCTCGGTTTTCAAAGGCAGTGCACTGTATGCGGCGCTCGAAGGGAAAGATCGTAAATCCATTCAGGACATAACATACATTTCCCATATGGAGGCATCCCAGAGAATCCAACCCTATGGCAGTATCTGCACAGCGACACAGTGATCTCAGAAAAGCCGATACTAGCACATAAACACATACCTGTGAGCATGGATCAAAGACTTCCAGGTTCAACTGTCTGCCATCAATGGAGAGCCTTTTATGGTATAAGGAGTCTGAAACGAAGTTGAAAGAAATTCTGAGAGTTACAACATACGCATGTACTGCATAAAATAAAAGATGGACTGTTAAATGTAAACATGGAGCATGGAAGGAAAAGAGGAAGAAGTGCATGCTACAAAAATCTTTGGCATCAATACATACTCAGAATGGGTGGATTAATAGAAGGCAGACATGGAATGGATGGTAATTGTATATTAAAACCTGCCTCTACATGGCGATGTTACAGCTGCTCCTTTTATACGTACGGTATGCATTGAGGATCTTAAAAAAGCAATCTTTATAAAGTGTCTACCTTTTGAAAGTGTGCTTTAAGTCAGCTGCCATTGATTTGTTTCTCATTTCCATTGCATGTAATGGGGAACCTTATTCATAAGTTTTGAACCGCGTTCCCCATGGATAGAACATAAAATAAAACTTAGTGCTGTAAGTTAAAACGGTTGGGGTGATGCCAGAGGCAACAGCACTGCAGTTAAAACAGTCACTGGATTATGTGTGTAACATATGAGTAAGATTCTGGACGTATTGTCACCTCATTAAACGTCAGACAGAAACTGTGCTGCACTTACTTGCATTGGAGGCGTATTCCCCAATGAAGCGCTTGGTCAGGAATCTCACCAGAACCGCTGAAGACAAGAGAAGTGAGATTCTTATTGAAAGCGATCATCTGAAGTAGTGCTGGAAAAAATTGAATTGTACCCTCAGGAGAGGAAAAGGGGGTAAACAGGTCCAGCTTCTCATCAAAGATTTGGCCAGTTGACAGCAAGTGCTGGTGCATATTTGGCACTGAGAAATCAGGTATGTTTGTTTTTGTATATTTTTTTTTCCACTACAAAATCGTGAACACACTGCCTGCTCTATATTAAATATTTGAGCCATGAAGCTGCCCTGGCTCATTCGCTCATTGAAGTCAGGGCTTGAGTTTCCACGCAGACACACTGTGGCAGCCACGTGAACACTGCTTTCTCTGCCCCTGCCAACTAACTTATACTCCACAGCTGTCAGGAATACAACCGTGATGCTGTGTATTTCCCTCCTAAATCCCTCTCAGTCCTACAAAAACATACCAGGCATGTCCCTCTGTCCTCACCTTTATCCCTTGCCTCTTTGATCAGAGCCCAGAGAGAAAAGGGCTCCACCACTACCTCTTAATTTTTCGGTCAGAGGGGACACTGTCTAATTATTTTCCGGTTATTTAATAGTCATCAGCACAGGTATGCAGCCAGAGGGGCTCAGCCTGTCCTTAGTCTGCGGAGAGGAACAAAAAATAATCCCTCATCAGTTTTAGCAATTACTCGCATGTTACAACCATCAATTTTAATTTCCCTTTCGAGTGATTTGAATAACAGTGACCTCGTTCCACCCCTCCCTCCCGTTTCCAGTACACAAAGTGCTTTCACAGTGTGCGCACAGGGCAGACAAAACGTCTCTCTGCATTGAGCAAGCCTGACACACATTACTGTATAGATGCATTGCAGCCGAACAAATGTGTGCAGATACGGTCCGATGCAGCAGATTGTTCACGCAGCTCACTCTGAATTCAAAACTCATGCTAGTGCAAAGGTTAAACTACTAAAAGTTTAGTCATATCCATGAAGAGCAGGAGAGATGGAGAACTCACCTGATTTGCCTGCTCCCTCACTTCCCAGCAGGGCTAGTTTGATGTCATTCATGGCTGAGGAACTGACACTGGAGCTGAGTTGCTGCTGGAGCTTTGTTCTCTGTACTGTCCTATAGAGGAATTCAACTAGTCTGTTGTTCCTACACGGCTCAACTGAAGCTCTATTCAGCAGGGGCGAGGGGAGAAGCCTCTTTCCCTACCCCTCTCTCTCTCTCTCTCTCTCTCTCTCTCTCTCTCTCTCACTCTCTGACTCAGTTACTTACTTGCTTGTACACATCAACGGATTCTGATCTCTCCCCTCTCTCCTCCCACAATGCGGGGAGCTCAAAAGCTGGGTTGCCAGGAGGTCATTCTACCATGGAGCACAAGCAGGATTTCACCTCCACAAGCATTAGAAGCCATTGTTCCACTCAGCAGAGGTTTTCCATGGTGAACTGTCTTAAACTGCTCTGCACAGAAGGCCGGAGCCCGTAAACCACCTCTTCTTCACCTTTATACTGGATCTGTGCAATCGGGAGCCTTTAGTTTGTTTGGTTGTCATGACGTTCCAGTCAAGGATCTATGTTCAACCACTGTGTACTTTCGAGGTGAATAGCTGCCAGAGCATTCCACTCAGACCCACTTTGTTGTCTACAAGACTTTCTCAAACAGTTCCCCGTGTACAGGCCGCAAATGAAAGCGATTCGTCATGTCCCGTTCAGCGCGGATGCAGACTTCGAGACAGTTGTAATGGGTCAGAGCATGGCTGCCCGATACCGTCCAGCACCCAGTGCAGTTAATGCTGAGGCTGTCTCCTGTATCACGGCTCACACACGACCTCAAACTGCAGAGCTTTCCATGCGGCCAAAAGCTTCAGCCGTATTTTGATTGCAGGGATTGCGTTCTTTGAAAGGGGAGCGCAACAATCAGTTTTCCTTCTTTCCACCTCATACAGTTCCAAAAGAATAGGGAGACGTTCAGCCACTAAAACCTCAATTTCATGGGCTGCTTCACTGGTCAGAAAGTATTTTATTACTTTTTTTTACTCTCAGACAGTTTTTCCCCTCCTCTCGACCCTTCAGTCTTTGACGGAGTTCACTTTGTGGTGTCCCATTATTATCCTGTTAGGTTTGATTTCTTTTCTGCCGACTGAGGACTTGCAGGCCTTCTGGAACACAAAGGATCAAATGTGCCCAGCACCGAAAAATATGTGGCACATGTTAGGCTATCTACTGTCTGACCATGGCTACATCTGTTTTGACAGTTTGGAATTTCATAAAGAAAGTGGTAGCAACGAGTTCCACCTCAACAGTCATGCAGAAAGGCAAGAAAGCAGGAGGCGACCAGATCAGGTGCATAATGGAATGTAAAACCGTGATGGATGTATTTTGAACCTATATTAATTATAAACCAAACTCACTCTACAATAATGCTAATTTCTGATACTGTCCTGATGGGATTCTAGTGGTGTGAAGCCAACATCGAACATTTTTTGGCTTTCTAAATTAAACACAGACATTTGAAGCTTCTAAAAGACAGTCCATGTTTTACTTAAAGGTTGTGATGGACATATGAACCTAAATTTGACCTTTTAGCAGTTTCACGGTGAATCTTTCAGTAGAGAGGCTGGCGTAGAGTCTCCTCTATGCCCATTGATTAGGCTGTCGCTTATATTTACAGCACTCGTTGATGTAACTAGGATCTCCAGAAGGCCTAGAGTAACAATTTTGGTCCTGCCTTATGGAAATTAAAATGTGATTGGTTGATTCCTCAATTTGTAAACATGCTGATGGTTAATCTAATGTGTAAGGCCTTCAATTCAGCCCTTGAAGTCTTAACCACTGGAAGAGATATATCTACCTAGAAGCCAATGAGAAAAACAATTCCTTATTGGCCAATTTTCTGCTGGGACTTTCAAGAATTTAACTCTAGACTCAACATTTACATTTACAGCATTTAGCAGACGCTTTTATCCAGAGCGACTTACAAAAAGTGCTTTGTCTATCTAGAGAAAGTATCTCTGCTAGAAGGCATTACATGAGAGAGAAAGCCAGTCCTGAGCTCAGATACTGCTAGAAACAAAAGTCCATGTTGATACCCAGAGAAAAAGGAACAGAGCAGTGCAACACAATACAATACATTTCAATAAGTGCAGTACATTACATTACAATGAATACTTAACTCAGTGCTCATTTAAGTGCTGTATAAAGAGACGGTCTTCAGTCTGCGTTTGAAGACAGCGAGAGACTCTGCTGTTTGGACAGCCAGTGGGAGTTCGTTCTACCACCTGGGTGCCAGCACAGAGAACAGTCTTGATGCTTGTCTTCCACGTGTCTTGAAGGATGGCGGGTCGAGGCGAGACTCAACAATTCTCTGAAGGCCTAGAGGGCCCTGAGGGTTCCCCACTGCGCCATCCAGTACCTTTGGGATGAGTTGGGTCGTGTTTGTGATCCAGGACTAATCATCCAACATCAGTACGTGACCACACTAATGCTCTTGAGGCTGAATGCAATTAAATCCTCACCGCAATGATCCAACATATGCAAAAAAGACATGTAAAAAGACAGAATATTCTTTAAGGGTTCTTTAGTAGATGGTTATATTTAGAACCATGAGTTCCATATAGAACCATTTAATGCTTGAATGGTTCTTTGCATGGTGAAATGGTTCTTCACAGTATTGGAAAATGTGTTGTATGTGGTTCTGTATAGAACCTTTTTGAAAATGGTTTTATATGGCATCAAAAAGGGTTCTTCTATTTTTACATGCAATTTAATTTAAATTTACATTAATTTAAAAAACAGGCCAACAAAACTCTCATAAAACAGTGTCTCAGGTATCAGACAACACATTCACAACCATTTCATGTAATACCTTTCTCTGAGGTACCTTTTAAAGGCTTTAAAGGGGACATCCATCAATTTTTCAAAATTTCTGCTTGATTAAATCATCAAGATTTTAACAGAATCACTCAGAGTGGTTCTACAGAAACTTACTGGGTTAGAATTGTTCAGTGTTGGTGAGGAACCAGAGGTCAGAAGCATTTATTGCCTTGAGTTTTATGACAGTTTTGAGAAGATTTTGGCCTAAAGCATCATCTTTTTTTTTTTAATCTGCTCATTGCCTTCCTTCAGATGTCTGCTTCCTATCACCACCACTGTGAACAATTCTGACTCTGTGTCTCCAGAATGGTGCATTCCACATTAAATCAATCTGAATGACCCTTTTTCACATCTTAACAATTGAATTATGCAGAAATGTTGCATTATTAGTGGAATTCACCTTTGAAACAGAATTTTATACAGTACAGCCTCCTGAACAAAACAAAATCACTTCAGCAGTCTAACACTCCAACTCATTCAGCCCACAATTCCACACTGCCTGGCCTTACTAACCCACACTTACCTCTGAAGTAATGCAAAAGCAGACTCCTGCAGGATCTAATTCCCCACTGAACAGTATTGAAGGCATTTATACCGACAGACGAAGAAAAGAATGAAAGGAAAAATTACCATTAAATTGCAGCAAAATATGACCTCTTTTAAAAGAGTCGTTAGCAATGAGCTTTCAGAAGCTGAGGGGGGTAAGAATGAGGCCAGCTGCTTCTCCAGAGTACAAAAAAGATTTAAAGGCTGGCACTGGAGTTATTGCATCACGTCTGCGTTAAGGACAGCCTCATGGGGGCCCCGTCTTTATCCCCCAATCTTTAGGAAGGCAATCAGGGGAGTAATCCTGCAAGTATTGGGGGAATTTTCCTTCCGACCCGGCCCGAGCTCTGATCTGATTTAAGTGTCATCAGGAAGCTGTCAGTAAAGATGAGGGAGGAAGTATCCTGTGGGATGAGATTTACAGTGCCTTTGCAGGAAAACTCAATTTGCCAAGACTGAGAGAGAGAGAGAGAAGGAGATAACGCAGAAGAAAGATGACCACCTTAGATGGTATCAAAGCTGACTGCATCAGTTTGGAGAGCGCTGAATCTTCCAGCCAAGGTTGCTGTGCGGTGATTAAGTAGAAACGTTATTTACATGGTTTTGATTTTTGCCAGATATGGCACGTTGTAAATAGTATGAAGTATGAGCAATTCTCTCGTTTACTAGGGGTTTTATTGGTATCCTGGGCACCGAGTTTTTAAATCCAAATTTAGACATAAGCTTAATTCAGTGTACAGTGAAAAAAATGCATTGTGCTTATGTGTACAGTACTGTGCAAATGTCAGAGACTGCACTTCATTTATTTGATTTTCAGTCAGGACAGTTATTACACAAGCTATTCATTTTTCAGAGGCAGGAAAGAAAGAGTAAAATATATTTAACAGAAAATTACACAGAAGCCTCAACAGCTAAACATAACATCAATTTTACAGTGTTCAGTGTCTTTATTAAGCCTTTATTACATCTCCCATTCTTTTCAGGATACTTGCTTTTAGCTTTTTCAAAGAAATCTGCAGGGATGTTTTTCCATTCTACCAAAATTCAGTCTTAGAAGTTCTCATGACACGTTCAGTAATGTTGAGTTCTGGACTTTGGGGCGGTCAATCCATTGTTCTGAGAACAACAGCAGCTTATTTGTTTGATTTGCATACACCGATCAGGCATAACATTCTGAGCACCTCCTTGTTTCTGCACTCATTGTCCATTTTATCAGCTCCACTTACTATATAGGTGCACTTTGTAGTTCTACAGTTACAGACTGTAGTCCATCTGTTTCTCTGATACTTTGTTAGCCCCCTTTTACCCTGTTCTTCAGTGGTCAGGACCCCCATGGACCCCCACAGAGCAGGTACTATTTGGGTGGTGGATCATTCTCAGCACTGCAGTAACACTGACGTGGTGGTGGTGTGTTTGTGTGTGTTGTGCTGGTCTGAGTGGATCAGACGCAGCAGTGCGTCTGGAGTTTTTAAACACTGTATCCACTCACTGTCCACTCTATTAGACACTCCTACCTTGTCGGTCCACCTTGTAGATGTAAAGTCAGAGACGATAGCTCATCTGCTGCTGCACAGTTTGTGTTGGTCATCCTCTAGTCCTTCATCAGTGGTCACAGGACGCTGCCCACAGGACGCTGCCCACAGGACGCTGTTGGCTGGATGTTTTTGTTTGGTGGACTATTCTCAGTCCAGCAGCGACACTGAGGTGTTTAAAAACTCCAGCAGCACTGCTGTGGATCTCCTTTTCTGTCTGTTTCCTTTTCTCAGTAACTGATTCTTGACAGCTTCTCACAGTGGAAGGATGGACAGAAACACCTGTGGATGTTTTCAGATCTGAAGCAGCTTGATTTTCTCCTGCTCCTGGAAGCCGTAAGCGTTGTTTATCTGATGGTGACAGTTTTGCTGGTCTACCAGGTCTTGCACTGTTGTTTGGAGTCACTTTTTCTCTTTTAATAGTTTTTTGAACTCCATTATTCAAAACTCCTGTTTTTCACTTATTTCCCTTTGACTTTTCCCTTCCTAAAGAACTTGTGTAGCTTGTATTTCCTTTTCTCTGTAACAGCTTTTTGACAGCTACACAGCCTTTTCAGACCCCCTAGCGTTGTCCTCTGACAGTGGAGCGATGGAGAAAAACACCTGTGGATGTTTTCAGTACTGAAGCTTCAGTTTTCTCCTCTCTCTCAGAGACGAAAGCTGCAAGTGCTGTTTGGTGACAGTTTTGGTGGTACATGGTTGTTATGAGTCCCATTTTCTCTACATCTTTGAATCATTTTTTATACTCCATTTTTTTACTTAAGTGGAAACTTAAGTACCCTGGCTTTGTTGAACTAGCCTGATATGGAAGACTAGATCTCGTCCTTTTAAAACTGTATCTTTGAAATTAAGATAAAACTTGAGGACATCATTGATTGCAACCCATTAGAATTTAATAGTAATGAGAAGATAAATTGAGCTATTCATCCCCATCCAGGCTTGAGAGGAATTTCGCCTGAAAGAAGTCGGTAGGCGAGTTTCTTTTCTTCTTTGAAAATGAAAGTTAGAAGAAAAAAGCGTATTGTTTCAGTGTAGCTGAGAGAGATGTCCAGTGTTTTTCACCATTAATGAAATTATCCAGGGCCCCCTCTCTTGGATGTGCGCCTCTTTTATTGGTGTAAGGCCAAACTGAAGAACAGACTGCACTTTATTAGTCCGCTTGACGCCCTCATTCGAACACAGCCTGAAGAGCTTCAAGCACACCTGCCATTCATTCCTTCTGTATGCTAAAGCCAACAGAAAAGCCCTTCGTCACTTATAGAAAATGTATCAATCATAATGAATCTCATGTATTTAGCATGGGCCAAAACTAACAATGGTACTGTTATTCTAAGGCATTTCAATATGGAATTCTTTGAAAGTTGAAATGATAATTTAATTAATTTCCTCTAATAATAATTGAATTAGAAAAACTGGGCAGAACAGACAGAACTTTTCAAAAAGGGCCAAGCATTCATGTGTCCATGGGTAGTAAGGAGTGAGTCGCATGTACTCAAGTAAGGATTTTGCTGGATTTGTACTCTCGAGTATTTTCAAATGATATGCTTTTATGTCTACTAATACAGTACTGTGCAAAAGTCGAAGCGGTCACTACGCAGAAGCTGTTCATTTTTTAGAGACATTTCTGATGAAATTGGATAGAATTCACTTGCATAAGGAAGAGGAATGCCAAAGGAACAGACATTTCCAAAAGTGGAATTAAAAAAAATATGAAAATATAAAATTAAAAACGGAACAACTCCTAACAATTGTGCACGACCTGGTGTACCACCAACTGACCCGGTCAGATAAACAGTACTTACAGAGAGGAGAAAATCAAGCCCTATTCATGCTTCAGATCTGAAAAACTCTAAAAGTGTTTCTGTCCATCCTTCCATTGTGATAAAGCAGCTCATGGCTGTGGATCTAAAAGGACGCTGTGACGAAGCTGAAACTGAGGAGATAGAAAATAGAAAAACATTTGCAAATAAACAAAGAAGCCTCTGCTGTTCTCAGAACAATGGACTGACCACTCCAGAGTCCAGACCTCGACAGTACTGAATGTGTTTGGGATTATTTGTATTGTGAGAAACACAAAATGCAACCAACTTCTAAGACTGAACTCTGGAGGTGTGGAAAAATATCCCTGCGGTTTTCTTAAAAAAACTGAAAGAAAGTCTGAAAAAGTAGTGTGGACACAACAAATACTGAAAAATTAACATTATATTTGGTTGTTGAGGCAGCTGTAATTTTCTGTCAGATATGTTTTCTGCTTTTTTTTCCTGATGCATGAAAAATGAATAACTTGTACTTAATAGATTAGAATGAAAATTAAGTTAATGGACAGTCTCTTGCACATTACTGTATATGGATATTGCAAAATTTCTATAATTAAATCATGAAAAAACTGAAATATTGATTGTTTGTACAGAAACTCAGAGAAAAATGCTTTATGAGAAACGTGGCTCTTTGGCTACATAGACCAAACCTGCAGTACAAAACCTGGGTGTGATCTTAGACTCTGAGCTCTGTTTTATCTGCATATAAACGCAGTCACTAAAGTAGCTTTGGTAACACTTTCTATGAATGTCACCTTTGTAAGCATCTATAAACACATTCATAACGTTATAATGCATTCATAAGACATTATAAACATAGCTATAAATATTTATAAAAATGCATTACACATTACAGCCATGTTTATTATGCATTGTGAATTGTTAACATCATACATTATAAGTACTGTTCATAACAAATTATAAGAGTTCATAAGTTGTATTTGTCCGCTCTAAGTAAAGTGAAGCGTACTGTACTAAAGCCTCCTCAGAGTGAGGCTTCAAGTTGAAGTATTTACTGAAGGATTTACTGAAACACTAAAACATTCACAGTAAAGCACATTACAGGCTTCAAATGTCAGAGTTTAAACTAGAGCTGCCATCAGTGTTTTACCCAATGTGGGAAAGGTAATGTACACCACCGTTAGCTTGGTATGTGTCTTTACACTCTCCAAGCTGGGACTGACTTCTTTGGCACTGACATTATAACATGTTATTAACACTATTTATAATGCATTATATTAACAATTCATAATGTATAATAAACATGGCTATAAAGTGTAATTCAGTGTAATTCTATTTTATAAATATTTATAACCATGTTTATAATGCCTTATGAATACATTATAACATTTATAGATGCTTACAAAGGTGACATTCATAGAAAGTGTTACCGTAGCTTTTTATCACCTGAGAAATTTCACTAAAGTTCAGCCTTTTCTCTCTCAGAGCGACGCAGAGAAACTCGTTCATGCATTTGTTACAGCAGAGTTGATCACTGTAATGGTCTTCTTACTGGATTTCCTAAGAAAACATTACATCCTTTACAACTCGGACAAAATACAACAGCATCCTAACGAAAACAACACAGAGAGATCAGATCAGTCCTGCTTTAAAAGAGCTGCACTGCCTGGATCGTTCAGGATAGACTTTAAAGCTCTGCTGCTGGTTTTTAAAGCTCTAAATGACCTTAAAGCACCTCTTACATCACAGAGTGTCTGTTTATGATCTTAGATCTGCAGATACTGACCTACAAACACCTTCAGTAAAACACAGAAAACGTGGAGAGACTCTTTCAGTTATTCTGCTTCTAAACTGTGGAGCTCAGTTCAGCTTTTATTAGACAGTCGAGCTCAGAGCTCACTTTGAATAAACATCTGAAAACGCAGCTCTTTAACTCAGCGCTTCACTAAAACTCTACATTTCATGGTATTTATCTTTTTATCACCTGTCTGTAAAGCACTTTGAGCTGCCACTGGCATGAAAAGTGCTATATAAATAAATTACTATTATTATTATCATTATTATTTGAGAGGAAAGCGACATACTTTTTAATCCATTGCATTTAATTATTTAGATTAGTTACCAATTTGTTTAATTTCGTGGCACTGGTGACGGCGTCTGTACTGCTTCGTGACGGGTCACACCTCTTTCTCAAGCTTTATCAAGAGCGCATCAAAAAGAGAAAAGCAGAACTCTATGAACTTCTGCATAAATGACTCACAGCCTTGACAGTAACTCCTAGATTAGATATTAAAAGATCTAGAGCTGCTTAAGCGTCTTATGGAAAAGCGTCTTAAAGGTAAAGAGCTATGAGAGGTAAAGTCAGGATGTCCTGTACTTACAAAGCATCTAGTTTTTATGAAATCCTGTCAGAGCAACTGTAAGTTATGTTGTAGGGGTGTGACTGTTTCTGAATTATGACACATTCTGAGATGTTTCTAACTCAGCACTGTAGCTATGATAAAGGCAAGGACATCTTCATCTAATCATTACTTCGGCTTTGTGTGCAGCGCACAGCACAACTCACTCTAAACCCTGAGTGCCGTGATATTTATGAGACATGGACGAAGCTGTCAAACAGCTGGACAGAGATCTGATCATTTCAAGATCTGATTTATAAAACCGTTGATCAGCAGGGAGAACCTGCCCAGGTTAAATATGTATTGGTATCTGTTTGGTCTGCTAACACACCACAATGAAGCAAAGCCACATCGTTCACATCTGAAAATTATTTGGCAGTTTTTCAACAATGTACCATGGATTGTTTGCACAATTTATACAGAACAGACAGCAGACATAAAAACAAAAAGGTACTGTTTTGTTGGAAATAAGCGTCAAACACTTGTGAGTTCAGCCTTTGCACGAACAATATTACAGAATAAGCAACCTAAACTGGAGCACTATAATCTTTCATAACTATGGACCATTAGAATGATTTGTAAAGTGGGATCTGAAAGGTAGGAAGAAACAAAATGAGCTGAACTGCATATTCAAGTCTAGATATATTTTAGTTTGAATACATTGCAACAATCCAACTAATTATAGCGTATATGATTATGGGAGAAATATATTCTACACAGCAGGATTAGCAGGTATGAATGAGCAGTATTACAAAGTTGATGTATCTATATTTCATTTCTCACGTACCCTGTCACTGAATTACGTGGAGGGAGACGCCACACTAAAGTTTCCGCTCCTTCCGTTCCACCTGAGAAAGAACTGCTTGAATATTTTAGAACTGCTACTAAATGAAAAGACATATCTGTAAAATATATGAGGGTAACCTAGCAACATCCAATTAGAATCCACTTCTCTCCGGAATAGGAGTAATATTTCGCCTCATAAATAGTTAAATCGATTCAACATCTCTTTATGTCCAATGTGAACTGATTTTTTGTTTTTAAGGCTATACAAAGAGCTCCCTCTACAGGTCGATTGAGTTAGTACAATAAAAAAAAAACAAAGCTGGAGTAATACCTCATTATTACATATATGGCATATAAAGCATACAAAACCATACAATATCACATTCTCTATAATAAATATATAATATCATATTACCAATCAACATTGCTCGTCTATGTCTACTCAATAGCAGTCGCCAGCAACCAGTCAGTTATCAAAAACAACTCCAAATAAAAGCTCTATATGCACTGACATAAAGTACATACTAGTGTGGAACAGCATAGCATAAAGATTAAGCTAAAACTCGGCTTATATTCCAAAGACCAACTTCCAGTTAGGCAATATGTAACAGCATAAGATGACTGATTTGTTTACAAAAGCTAGAGGAATAGCCTTTTTAAAAAAGTCACCTTGGAGCTCTATGGTGTATAAAAGGAAAGTCTTTTCTGTCCATTCTGTAAGGCAGAGCTAATAGTGGTGCCTCCTCCAGTTGAGCGAGTGCCTCCTCTTCCTCTTCCTGTGGCTCTGCTCTCTCCTCTCGGGCCAAGGAAAGCCGGCCGCGGCTGCCCGCTCAGCCTCCTCGTACTCATCGCTGTCCGAGTCGTCCTCAGGAGCAGTGCAGCTCAGCTCTGGGAACACCTCACTCAGCTTAGAACAGAAGAAGGCCTGCAGACTGTGGCCCGCCTGAGCCACTTCAGAATCCGGCTGGAGAAGGAAAAGCAGCAAGAAGAGAAGAGAGCAATACGTAAAGGAAGAACACCTTAATGAAGAAGAGGTTCACTTAAGACGAGCATCTAAAAGTAGGCAATCATGCTCAAACTACTCAAACAGCCCACTAACTAGGGCTGGTCTGAATAATTTGAAATCTTAAGTACTTGTTGGTGTTTTGTTTCTCTATTTAGTATTTGGACGCTTGGTCTTTTTTTAAAAAAGAGCTGGGCGTCAGCTGACTAATAATAGTCTACTAATATGACTACTAATAATCTTCCCAGCCTACTGAATGTTTTTTTGCAATGCAATAATAAACATATTTAAAATGAATAATTTTGAAACATAAATATTGTTTTTAAGGGTGATTTTGAGTGCTCATCTGAAAATACCAACCAGGATTCAAAGCCTGTAAAATGCTACTACTCACCCATAAGGAGATATACACCGATCAGGCATAACATTCTGACCACCTCCTTGTTTCTACGCTCATTGTCCATTTTATCAGCTCCACTTACTATATAGGTGCACTTTGTAGTTCTACAGTTACAGACTGTAGTCCATCTGTTTCTCTGATACTTTGTTAGCCCCCTTTTACCCTGTTCTTCAGTGGTCAGGACCCCCATGGACCCTCACAGAGCAGGTACTATTTGGGTGGTGGATCATTCTCAGCACTGCAGTAACACTGACGTGGTGGTGGTGGTGTGTTAGTGTGTTAGTTGTGCTGGTACGAGTGGATCAGACGCAGCAGTGCTGCTGGAGTTTTTAAACACTGTGTCCACTCACTGTCCACTCTATTAGACACTCCTACCTTGTCAGTCCACCTTGTAGATGTATAGTCAGAGACGATAGCTCATCTGCTGCTGCACAGTTTGTGTTTGTCATCCTCTAGTCCTTCATCAGTGGTCACAGGACGCTGCCCACAGGACGCTGTTGGCTGGATATTTTTGGTTGGTGGACTATTCTCAGTCCAGCAGTGACACTGAGGTGTTTAACAACTCCAGCAGCACTGCTGTGTCTGATCCACTCAGACCAGCACAACACACACTAACACACCACCACCATGTCAGTGTTACTGCAGTGCTGAGAATGATCCACCACCCAAATAGTACCTGCTCTGTGAGGGTCCATGGGGGTCCTGACCACTGAAGAACAGGGTAAAAGGGGGCTAACAAAGTATCAGAGAAACAGATGGACTACAGTCTGTAACTGTAGAACTACAAAGTGCACCTATATAGTAAGTGGAGCTGTGTCAGAGTGGTTCTTTTTTCCCTCCGTAATCCAGTCCAGCATTTTCTGCTTTGCTCTTACTCTTTGCCTCAAACTTTTTTAATATAGTGCCATGGCCTTGTTGATACAATATGCAAAGAAACAATGAATATGTTTCATAGTTTCATTAAAATATTCATGAAAATGAATATTTTAATATTGAATGCAAATGTGCAAGGTGAACTGAAATGATTGTCAGTTATTTTAGTGAGATAACAAACCGGATATGAAAGTGTCACAGGACCACAGAAAGCAAACAATTATTGCATATGGACAAGACAAGTGAATTAATCAGATGCCCGGGCATGGTAACCTATTCAGTTTTCATTAAATGTGCAACACTAATAAACAACAGAAAGTAAAATGAGCTGAGGAAAATATTTCACTCACGTAGTTGAACTTGGCACAGTTTTTAAACATCAGTAGGACGTCAGCCACGAAACTCGCTGGGGGAGTTGTAGTGTGACGGGCTGCTTTTGTTGAGCCTGCTTCGGATAACAGATAAGTCCATGGGCCTCTTGATGATCTGATAATAATGACGGGCCTTGTACAGAAATAGAAATGGTTTGTTTATCCTTTTTAAACAGAAGACTCTTTAAATAAATAGTGAAGTTTTTTTAAACATTGTTTTTGAGAGTTTTTAAGTTACCAGTGGGCTGACAGGCTCATGGAAAGGAGCGCTGAGAATGTTGCTGTAGATAAGCAGAGTTAGCTTCTCACATTTCTGTAACAAAAAAAATAAAAAAATCAGTTCCAGACAGTTTATTAAGTAAATACAATAGTTACCATTCGCTAACTGAGTTACTCCCACTGGACCCACAGTTTTTTTTTTTAGTTCATCTGAGAGGACACAATTGATTTACAGGCCTGTGCAGGAACTTTGAAAGACCTTTCTCATTTTTTTTGGATCTTGACCTCAAGGTCTTAAAAGATAAATCACACTGAGGACAGATGAAACCCAGCATCTCCCCTCTTACCCTCTGGTCACATGCAGACAGTCCAGATGGCGCGATGGCTGTGGGCAGTCGAACATCCTCGCAGTCATAGTTTACCTCCGGCTGCTGCACATCTCTGCACAGAGTGCACACCCAGTCACCTCTGTAGGAGTGAGAAAAGAGATAAAGATGGGTTGGATCAAGCAGAGTTGAAGGGGAAGGGAGTAGGGGTGGGTATCACTAGGAGGCCCCATGATACAATATTATGATCCAAAAATATCCTGGTATCCTAGATTACTGAGCCACTAGCCACTTTTGTTTATGTCTCTAAAGGAAAACTTTCTGTCTTATCTAATTAATTATGTCTGTCTCACTTCAGTCATTTTTACTGACACAGAACTGTGAAGTGGACAGAGCACCGTTAACCCTCCAGGCTCCATGAACTCACCCGCACATCACATTCGATCATTCTGTGTTTCTCTATCTCTGCAATAATACCGCGAAATCCGGTTCAAACAGTTCCTGAAACTGTAGAGTCGCTCTTTCGATTCCATCTTAGTCAGATCGCACATGACTCACATCCAGAGTTATGAGGCTATGAAGAGAGGCTGAGATACACGTCATCTGCCTCTCACCATAAGTAATTGGTGGACTCGTGTTCCGTCTACATTCTGTGTGAAACTGACCGATGGACACTCAGGAAATCACTAAGGACTGACCATCACGCCAGAAACCCTTCATTCTTCATTCAATCCACATCGGAGACACAAGTGAAATGGTGTGCAGAGAGTTTACAGCTGCTGAAGCTGCTGGGCATTATGGTCATTATCATGTCAAAAGGCGAATTTAAGAAGATATGCAAAAATCGAGAAAATGCCCTTTGACCCCAGAGGGTTAAAACAACTTCTAGCAGACGTTTCATGAAGAAGATGTAAAATGTTAGAGGAATACAGGGTTTTCACAAGGACTCATGCTGGTATAACAGTGGGATTCCTGCCTGAACGAGGAGTCAAACTTCCAGTCTTTGCAGGCAAACGCAGCAAAGCCCTACACTGCCCAACTGCTTCTACCTACAGTACTGTGCAGAAGTCAGACACAAGCCTACCAGACAATGGCCAGTCAAAACAGCCACTATGTGCAAGTTACTCATTTTCCAGCATCAGGAAAAATACAGAAAACTTATTTTTTCAGAAAGTTACACAGAAGCCTCAACAATTAAATATATCATTTTTTCAGTATTTAGTCACCTTTGACTTTAACAGCTTCCATTTTTTGTGATATTTGCTATTTGGTTGCAGTTTCTGCTTCTCATGATCTAAGAAATTTAGACTTATCGGTCCAAAAAAGAGTCCACATCCCAAATACCCAGTTTCGGTATTCCAGTGCATATTTTTGGGTATTGTATGCATCGCTTTTTCTCAGCGAGTCTTCTTGACAGCTACACATCCTCACAACGCTGAACTTTCTTCTCACAGTGGACGGATGGACAGAAACACCTGTGGAATTTTTGAAAGATGAAAGCTTTAAGTACGGTTTATCTGATGGAGAGTTTTGGTGTCTACCAGGTCTTTGTTTGTCCTATTTCTTTCTGTATTTTTTAAATAATTTTTTAACTTCAATTTTGGAAACTCCTGTTTTTTTGTTTGTTTGTTTTTTTTTACTTATGTTTTTTGACTTTGTTTCCTTGTTCAAGTGGATGATTTTATGTTTATTCTCCTCATAAATATCTCTTTTGGCTATTTTTGATATACATGAAAAGAAATATGCAAGTCAGTGAGGGTGTGTTTGGGCAGTGTGTGTGAACGTTAGTGTCTCTTTGAAGGGTCAGTGACCTGTTTGAGAACAGCTTTTGTTGGGAGGACAAAGCTACAACTCACTGCTTTTAAGACTAGAAGGATGTTCGAGTTAAGGTGGCAGTAGGGTTCACAAAACCTAAGAGTGAACAAATACTCACAGATTTGATTTTATACTTTATACATTTGTGTAATTTTCTTTTAATATATATTCTGTTTTTTTCTTGACATGAATGAAAATGAATAGCTTGTACTTTATTTCAATTCTGACTAAAAATGTAATAAATGGAAGGGTGGTCTCTGACTTTTGCACAGTACTGTGTTCCTCCACTGGCAGGTCTCACCTGAAGAGAAAAAAGTCTTCTTACTGGACGAAGATTTTTCTGTATAATTAGTCTATCAATAGGTTTAATACATATGAAAAATATGAATATTTAAATAATAAAACAACAATACTTGGGGCTCTGTGTATGGATACTATTTTTCAGTCATGACACTATATCATATCATTCTTTTTCTCCCATCCCTGGAAGCAAAGGAGGGCTAGCAGAAGGCCTTACGTGGGAAAGCTGAGGAGAGAAGGCACATGGCAGGCCAGGTGGAAGACCTTGGGGCAACGGTCACAGCATAGCAGGTCCCCTCCGATGAGGCAGACAGCGCAGAAATCCTCGTTCTCCATCTCTACGGGTTCCTCTGCAGCCTGATCTACTGTGGCCACGTCAGACCCTGCATTTGAGTCAGGAGCGACTTGCTGCTCCGCCTCCCATTCACAGTCCTGTTCGAGATTCAGAGTCACTTCTGCTGTGGAATCAGGTTCTGATTCCAGCTCCGGTTCAGAGTCTGCCGAGAGCTCCAAATCAGGGGGCTGCTCTGACTCCAAGTCAGACTCCACGTGTGGTTCCAAGTCTGATTCAACTTGTGGTTCCGATTCAACGCTCGGATCCGATTCCACTTGGAGTTCCGATTCAACTTCTGCCTCCGAGGCAAATTCAGCCTCTGTCGTGGATTCCAGATGTGACTCAGACAGTGGCACCGATCTGGGTTCAGATAAATTGTGGTCTGAAGTATGTTCTTCTTCAGATTCAGGCTGTGGGGAAGGTTCTGCATCACTGGATTGGACAGGGGGAACGTTTGCCTCTGTGCAATCCTTGTCCTTGTCCTGGTTACACAGCTCCTGCACTTGTAGCTCTGACGTGCCAGGAGAAGTACTGCATTGCAGATTCTCTGCTTGTGGTGGCTGCCTAGGTAGTACAACATCCTCTGGTCCATCGACTGGTTCTGCACTGGACACCTCCTTAAAAACACGTAGCATATTGACAGGAATCAGTTAACTGAAGGATAGAGAGGGGATGTTCCTATGTTTAAAACTACTGTTGGCAAAGCTACCTCAGTGGGAAGTTCTTTCTGTAGCTCCTGAGGGACAGCCCCTTCAGACTTCAGGCCTGATTCAGTGGGAGAACCGATCTTCTGATGTCCCTGTGGTGGGCATTTAGACACCAGGATCTTCAGTCGCTCCAGGCACACAACTGGGACCTTAGAACCCTCTGGAGCTTCTCTGCTACCATCGTACCAGAACCAAAGACAGATTACAGTTTATAGCAGTTCATAATTATATTTTTGTTCATTTGGAAGAATGAAAAGTTCCAAAAGTTCTACCTGGTTTCCTGAACTTCTCTCGACATCCTGCATTTTGTCCTAGATTTTAAGCCTGTATTTTCATAGGCATACGCGTAGACATTATCTGAAACAGAATTCAAACTCTGACATACTAGACAAGCCATAATGTTCATCATACAAACCCATGTTATATATTTAAATGTGTTTGGGATTTTATTTCTAGGTCTAAATAGTAATAATATTGTAGCATGTTTTCAATATACTGCATTTTTACAAAGATACACTGCTAAGCAAGTGAAATAGCGTCAGTACCTGGCTCCGTCTTGTAGGTGGTCAGAGAAGAACCGTTACCGCTGTGCGGATGGGCTTGCACTACTCCGCTATCTGACCGTGGCCTTCTTGCTTTGGGCTGTGCACAGTCCTTCTAGGGGATAAAAGTAAACAACTGTCTAAATTCATTCCATCTGTCATGTGAAGAAAACGTCAGATGATGTGGGGCAGAAGCAATCTGAAGACCAGAAACCAAGAAGTTTCAATCTGAGTGAACATGCAAAGAGCAAGACCAAGAATAATAATTAACGTGGGCAGCTTCATCTAATTGGTTCTCAGAACAGCAATGTGGAAAAAAAGAAGTTAGAGGATCTGTTTCCAAGACAACAGTTATCTCTTTTGATGTAAATCATCTGGTGCATCCTTTAAAGGAAAAAGACAATAGTGCCCTGTGTATTAGCGAGCGCAACAACTAAGGTGTTTTGGTCTGTTTTCCAGAGACGTGCTCTTTGAAATGAGGCCAAAGCTAGACACTAACACTCAAAAGGCTTGTGGTTTCGGTGTTTGTAGCGTTTGCCAAACAACCGCAGAAGCACTGTATGATTGTTTGATGCTTATACTGATGCTAGTTATTCATATGCAGATGCAAATGCAAAGTCTTCTTTTTTGCCAAGACTCAGAGCCACCACCACTAATGCTGGAGCAACTGTCTGAATGTATAGGTCTACCTGTTGTGCTGTGCATCTCTGCTCCCCAGTCACCGTTGCTAGACAGTGGGCATCCCCAGAAGGCCTGGCTTCAGAAGGGCCATCACATGGTGAGCTTAGCTCTGCTGGGACGCTGCTGGATCTGGTCCTCATCTCTGGACTGGCCTGGCTCTGAGCATCAGCGGCACATCCTCCAGCCAGCATGTGAACGTCCGACCCCGGGGAACTCTGCAAGAAAGAAGCCTGTAGTGATCAGTACTGGTGCTAAGCTAACACTGACGATCACAGCTCAACCTTGGTGCTAGCACCATAGCAACAGTGACAACAGAGGAAGCAGAGGAGAGGGCAGCAACTCTGAACATGACAAACACTGAAGCTGCTGCAAGAAGAGTTTTGAACGGGAGGCAAACAACGTCGCACCCACGCTTTTCTGACACACACGGGGACAAGAGACAGCCACCACAATTCGGAAGAGTAAAATAAGTCTCCTGATAATGAATGGCTTAGTTACAGCACCAATTATCGTATGTAAATCCCACATCTGGGGCACAGAAGGCTTCTTTGAATAAGCAGCATTAACACATCACAGATTAGACTCGCTCTCTCTGTCTTCCCCTCTCCTCCATGGCCCTTTTTCGCGCCTTCTTCCCTTGTCATAATTTCACTAATGCGAGAAGTTTCCAGAAAAGCCCAAGCGACTGCATCCTTCGCTAATGCCAACAAATGTCAGAGTTGGGAAGCAGTAGCCCGTGTGCTCAGCAGAGCCCCTCCTCCCTTGCTCCCTCTCCCTCTCTCTCTCTCTCTCTCTCTCTCCCCCTCCTTGATAATTACCACAGGATTAAAACACTCACCACCTGATAGGAGCCTCAGAGGAGAGGGTAGAATGAATCAAGCTGCGCGGAGTGTGTGTTTGTGAGCATGTGCGTATGAGTGGGTGCAGAGTGTAGGTAGGAGGTCTCCAAGTCTTGGGAGCTAATAGTGAAAGCTTCACAGCAAGTAAGAGAAAAGCCCAACTGCCAGCTCTCTCAATTCCCTCAGCTTCTCATTAATCTCAGGTTAAGTAAATATGTGGCTGCACCCAAGTGCTTTTTTCTCCCTTTCATATTCAAGTGACTGTTATGGGCAGAAGATGATAGATAGATATGAAACTACACTAATTTGCCCCAAGAGTACAGATCTTTGCAGGAAGCCTGCAGTTTGATTGGTGTTTGTCTTGCAATTTTTACCCAAGTACTGACATCAAGAGATCTAATAATAACTTCTGTTGTCTACTTTGTTACTCCTCCAGTTCTAGAGTTCGATGACTTGGAGCTGTTGCTGAGACGTGCGGTTGGCCTGCATGTGTGTGCGCGTGTATATGTGTGTGTGTGTGTGTGTGTGCGCGTATCTGTGAAGGTGGTCTTAAAAATGTGTCTGAATTCGTCCTGCAGACATGCTCAGTGGCGTCTCACCGTCTGTCTGCAGAGGTGCTGTCAGCAGCTGTCATGATGAAAACACATTACCTTGGCACAAATAAAGATGCCACATGCGTCGATTCAATTTCCTTGCTCTCTCTCTCTCTCTCTCTCTCTCTCTCAATTAATAATGAAAATGAAGGCAACCTTGCTGTCATAAAGAGCTCATGTCTACAACCCTTATCCTATCAGGTTAAACTATATGCAACATATCATCCTATAAATGCACTGCATTTGAGCTGAAAAGCACTACAGCTAAAAAAGACCACAGCCTTGTGTTTTGAAAGGCTAAGTCTCTCTCTATTTCGTCCTTGCTCTTGGCTATTCACTTGCATACATGAGATTCTGCTGTTTTCTGTGCATCAGTGAGGGCTTGTGGTGTGGGCCGTTTGAGCCATGCGGTTAAGGTGTGACCTTTTGCAAGCACAAAGAGAAAAAAACAACAACACAGGGTCTGGGGATTGTGGTCAGTGTGCAATGCGGTGGAGGCCTCTGCTTTGCTAGATGCACATGAGCAAATCTCCGGGCAATCCAGCTACTCACCTCTTCATCTTGACAGTTTGTGAGAGACTGCTGCTCTGGTGCTGGTGTAGGGTTGGACTCTGCGCTTGGCTGTGCTGGAGGCTGATCTTGTTGCTGTTGTTTGTGTAGAATGGATTCGAGGTCCTTGGACACCTGTTTTCGGCTGCGGGGTGACTGACCAAACGTGGACGCTCTGTTGTCCACAGCAGCCTGGTCGGTGACTGCAGATAGCTGCTCGTTCTGCGGCTGGTGGTTGGACCTAGAAGGCTGTCGGAGTGGAGCTCTGCCGGGGCTCAGCTGGATGGGCTCAGGCACAGGGGGGTGGCGTAGGCCGCTGAGAAGAATGCACCGTAGACTGGGGCTGCAAGGCTGTGCTCTCAGGCTCCCAGCGCCTCTGGAGTCTCGGAGGAGAATTGCAACTGGGTTGCTGGGGGCACTGGACCGAGTACTTGTCCAGCGGCGCTGGGTATTTTTCCAGCTGTACAGACTGGGCTGGTCTGCAGTGGAGGCAGCAGAGCTGAGGCTGGCAAAAGGCCTGGTAGGCACAGTCTGGCTCTCGGACCGAATGGCACAGGGTGGACATGGCCATGCAGGCCACGGGCTGCGGCCTCAGGATACTGGGTCGGCCCATGCCCTCGGAGTATGAACGGCTTCCGCCCTCAACGCTGAGCTGACCTACAATCGAGACATAAAACGTAAATGGAACGGCTGAGACCCAGCATCCTTAGGGTGTTACGTGTGTAAAGATGACAATCAAGATACATAAAAACTTTTAATCAAAAATTCAAATTGCAATTAAAAAAAGAATGAAAGCTATTATGCCAATTAGCATGAGAGCCTGCACTTTTAGCATCATCAGCATTATGCCTTTATCATAAATTCAAACAATGCGTTATATGCAAAGCAATTAACCTCAGAACAGCAGTAATTTCAATGGCATGGAAAAATATCAGGTTGGTCAGTCTACCCACCAAGAGTGGAGATCTGCTTGGTCCAGAAGCTGGCATCCCAGTTGAACTTAATTTTCAAAGGGGCCCAGGCTTCTGAGTGTATCAGAGGCTCCAGTAATTGCTGCATTTGAAGAGCAATCTGACAAATGAATTATAGATCAAACCTCACGATCACAGACAGGCACATCAGATCATAAATATGTATGCAATTCAAGCACTTTGCTGAAGCTTTTTCGGGCCGCTGTTCAGTGCTGGCTTCAGTTATATGTGGTCATTAACAAAGCCTGATGACGACTGTGTGAAAGTGTGGCCATCTCACACCTCTGTGTTTCACCACCCAGATGATGGCGTCAGCTACGTTTCCCTAAGAGTGATGTACCACAAAAGTCATTTGGGGACAATGGAATAAGTAATAATGCTTTTGACCATTTTATTTGGCCTAAATCATTTTAAATGTTCTTATTACAGCAATATTCTGTGGAGATCTATATTCTGGAGAAACCAATACAATCCTCCACCTCCTGACTCTCTAAAGCCCCACCTTAGCTGACTGTTCGCAACATCTCGGGTTGTTGGCGAGCCCGGCTCTACGCACAAACTGGACGACAAACTCATCAACATTTTACTGATAAAAACAGTAAAACACAATATTTATTATGTTGATACTTTCTTTGTCATTTATCTGGAAGAAAATCGTAGAGGGGAGGAAATTAGGTCATGAGCCAACCCAAGGTGTACATTTAAGGGTTAAGGCCTACCAGCTCTTTGCTGAACAGCAGTGGGTTCCTCCTGTGATGGGCCACTGCCCAGGTGATGAAGTTCTGTATGTGCTCCAGCTGACTGCACAGCTCTATCGCCCCCTGTAATTGGTCCTCCAGGCGCTGCTTAAAGCCACTGGAGATACTCTATTGAAGAGGACATCAATGACACATGTATTTCTTCCTGAAGAAGCAGCAGCCAAAGTCTGATATACATCATCCTAAGATTCACATCTGGATTCACGCAACATTACACAATTACATCCGCCTTTGCATGTGATCCAATCTGATGACATTTTGTTCTGCACGCACCATCTACGTCCATGGTCAGCTGGATACTTGGAGATGAATATGTCTAGAACAGCGCAGACAGGGAGAAAAGGAAAGGGGGAGAAAGTAATTACCTCCAGTTGCTCTATTAATAGGTTGGCCCGTTTGTTCAGCTCATTCATCATAATCATCTTGGCCATTTTAATCTGGTTCTCTGCCTTCCTCTGTGTGATCTTTACGCCATGAAGTCTGGGAAAACGGACGGGGGGAATGAACAGACATGTTGATTATTGATCGATGATTGGAGGATGAAAAAACGTAAAAAGGTATGATGTGGAAAGTCTTGGGCCCTTCGGGCTGCTGCGCACATCTGTTATGATCATTGGAAGAAAAGAGATCAATGGTGTTTGTGTCACCGGGCTTTAAACTTTGCATGCAATCATAACATTTCCCTGTCCAAGTTGGACTGAGTGATAGCCACAGCCAGCCCTGGCTCAACTTAGCAAACAATACCTTTACTGCTGCAATCATGCAGAGGTTGGAGTTCATCACTCTTTCATGGATTTTGCTATAAAAGGATTCTGGCTGCATGGACTGAGTGTACAGGTTCTTACCTGCCCTGGATCTGCTTGGCTGTGTTCTCCACAGCTGATCTTTTCTCCTCTACCCGAGCCATCAGATTCTCCAGGAGCCATCGCTGATCCTGTAAAGCCTTGTTGACGTGAACCAACCTGAGGACAAAGAACCCGGCCCTTAGTCATCAAAGTTATGTAGAAACGAGCGCATCTCACAACCTTGAATGACGGACAAACTACTCTGTGTCTGATTCATGAAACTGCTGTACGACATCAAAACAAGTGGTGATCTGAGCGCAACAGATGAATCAGCGTCTGTGCGTGGAAACTATATTTATAGTGAGCCAATAAAATGAGAAGCCTTCAGTATTAGTGCCTTTGGTCATCTTAGGTGGAGTTTGGGAGTGCGCTGCTGCCCCTACTGGCCAGAGTTTAACCAGATTTATAATTTTAAAATTAAAAAATGTGAAATTAACAAAACATATTATTTTAAGACAGTAGAATTATGTGTGTAGTGTGATTATTTTCCTAAAACATTGGTTACTTGAACTTTATTATTACAGTATATGAGTTGGTTTCTCCTGTACTGGCTAAGCTATGTTCTGGTTTTTTTTTTGGACGGAAGTTATTTTCTGTATCAGTGGTTCAAACAAAGGCATAGTGCAATATACACAGATCACGCATAACATTATGATCCTTGTTTCTACGCTCATTGGCTGGAGTTTTTAAACACCTCAGTGTCACTGCTGGACTGAGAATAGTCCACCAACCAAAAATATCCAGCCAACCGCGTCCTGTGGGCAGCGTCCTGTCACCACTGATGCAGGACTAGAGGATGACCAACACAAACTGTGCAGCAGCAGATGAGCTATCGTCTCCGACTTTACATCTACAAGGTGGACTGACAAGGTAGGAGTGTCTAATAGAGTGGACAGTGAGTGGACATAGTGTTTAAAAACTCCAGCAGCACTGCTGCATCTGATCCACTCAGACCAGCACAACACACACTAACACACCACCACCACTACGTCAGTGTTACTGCAGTGCTGAGAATGATCCACCACCCAAATAGTACCTGCTCTGTGAGGGTCCATGGGGGTCCTGACCACTGAAGAACAGGGTAAAAGGGGGCTAACAAAGTATCAGAGAAACAGATGGACTACAGTCTGTAACTGTAGAACTACAAAGTGCACCTGTATAGTAAGTGGAGCTGATAAAATGGACAATGAGCGTAGAAACATGGAGGTGGTCATAATGTTATGCCTGATCGGTGTACGCCGATGATCCAAAAAATTGACCACTCACAGATGTAGCGTATAACACTGATTATCTTGCAACAACGATGCACGTTAAGATCTGGGTTATATTAGACAGTAAGGGAACAGTTGGTTCTCATGGTCGACGTGTTGGACGCAGAAGAAATGAGTGACTTTGACAAGGGGCCGAATTGTTATGACCAGGCGACTGAGTCAGAGCATCTCTGAAACGGTAAGACTTGTGTGGTGCTCCCGGTCAGCAGTGTTGAGAACCTATTGATGGGATATGATCTGCAGCAGCTCCGACACACAACTTACAGGACTTAAAGGATTTGCTGCTACAGTCTTAGTGCCAGATACAACAGGGCACCTTTAGGGGTCTAGTAGAGTCCATGACCCGGCAGGTCAGAGCTGTTGTGGCAGTACATCCACTTTAGTACAGGTATTGGTGTGTGTACTTTAATTATTAGTATTATTTTCTATTTTTTCTGTTAGTTCTTGATGAATGAGGGCCATGTATGCTGACATCTAGGGCTGCATGGGAGGGACAACATTACATATGACTATTTTATTGCTACAGTGTGATAATAATTAATAAACAGTATACTGTGCAGAAGTACTCACGGCTCTGTACACCAGCAAAAAACATTCCACTTTATTTCAACTACAATAAAACAACTCAATAAAACAGCTCAACTAATATTACCTGAGAAATCAGGCTACATATGGATGTACTTGAAAGCAATATGCGACAGTGGCCACCTGACATACGCGTGTTTTTGTGACTTTGTGTCCATGTGTCTGAATGCGTGTGTCCTCCATGCTCACCGGTGGTCCTTGTGGGAAGACAGATGACAGATGCTGCAGGCCATGAGGTCACACGTCTCACAGAAGAGTTCCAGAGGCTCCTGCTTATGGATTGGACACATGACGACAGCATGCCCGCAACAAGCTGAACCTGAGGAGCACAACATGAAACGAAAGACAGAACAGCTAATCAGGACACACGCGATTAAAGGAGAATAACATCAGAATGTGTGAGTGGACTTACAGTCAGGGACGAGATATAAATATGTAAAATGCCATTTTATTTAAAGGTCATTTGATGCAAAGAAGGAGTCCATTGCTTTTTTATAGTTAGTATACCTTCATTGGCCATTCTTCTGCCAGCCCTCCTCTATCCCCTAATCAGTGGTCACTTTCTGACCACAGAACCACTCTTAGCTGGGTGTTTTTGGGTTCCCTCTCAATTTAAACGTGCTACTGACATGAGTAAAAACACTGATACACTTGTACCAAAGTGTGATACACACTACCATGTGAATGTTACTGTTGTGTTGAGAATAGCCCACCACCCAAGTAATATCTTGGTAACAGTGGCCCTGTGGTCAGACCAATGGTGAGATTAGCTGTTATGTAACTGTGCCTAACAAAACATGGTCTTTAGACTGTAATCATACATGCACAAAGTGGACGTATAAGACAGATGGACATCATAAAGTGGGGAGTGAGCGCACAAAGTAGGAGTTTCTAATAAAGCAGATGAGGACAGTATGATATTATAAGTGATGATGCTGGAGCACTTGATCATCCCGACACCTGACAAATACGTATATTACAGACACCTGACCACTGAAGGACAGAGTAAAAGGGGGCTAACATAGTATGCAGAGAAACAGATGGACTACAGTCTGTAACTGTAGAACTACAATGCCACCTATATCGTAAGTGGAGCTGGCGAAGTGGACAATGAGTGTAGAAACAAGGAGGTGAACTTAATGAAGTGACTGGTCAGTGACTACCAAACATATTCTACAGCAGTACATGTGTAGTATGATGTGGTACAACATTCAACTAATTGCCATAATAAACTAATTGGCACTATTAAGGACTAATAACTTCACAATCTGTGAATTTTATACACATGTAAGGACATCAGAACACAGTTCTGTATGACCGGCGCACGTTTAAAAGACGTCTTGGCTTCAATGAGTCCACCATTTTGTTAGTCTGTTTCTTTTTAGTTGGAAGAAATGCAAGCATCATAAAAAGCCTGTAAATATTTCTGGACTTATCCACACATCATTTTTCAAGAGGGAAAAAGTGGAGCGTAGCGTACCTTTGATCAATCAGCTCATGACTTATTAAAAGGCTTTGCCAAATATGAACGAGGCGACGCTGGGCTGCATTTGAGGAACCAAACAAAGCTTTCGGCGTTGCAGGATAAATAAAGTAACAAGCGGCGCAGGGGAGCAAATTACTTTCATGTGTGCGAGCAGGACGGCCTTTTTTTTAGAGACAAAAAAACGAGCACTGGACATTTAGTCATTCTGAGCCATTCGGAGTGGAAAATGTGCTATTTAAACCTCATTAAACATCACATCTTATAAAAACATTCATAAACCAATTTAATGCAATTTTCAGCGAAAAAAGTCAGACTGAGTAGCGAACCAGAGCGAGCTAAACATTAAATATTTAAATATTAGATCAGTTTGTACTGCGTGACAGCCTTTCCAGTTTTATACTCACTGCAGAATAAATAGCTTGTCCGGTGTTCATTCATGAACTGGTATTTTACTGTGGTTGTAAGGTCGTCACTACTGCTTAGTAATTAAGTAACACACCAATCAGTTAATCCAGCTACTGAGTATTCAAAGTTAAAAAGGCTATGAAACAATAAACTAAACAATACAATAAAAATGAACACTAACTACAGGTTTTAAAAATGTTCAAATACCGTAAAAAAGATGAACAAGGACATCTTAAAAACAATGTAAAGCGTCTCAGCGAGGTGTTCAGTCCCCACAAGCAGCCACAACCGCTTCAGTATGCCTTTGCATAAATCCTATAAGGTCCTGGAGACACACTGCCCTGCACATTTTAGTGTTTTCACTGCTCTCACCACACCTGATCTAACTGATCAGCTCATTATCAACACTTCACTGAGTGGTAGTGGGTGTATAAAAGCAAGGAAGGCTCTAAAATAAGGACCAGGGTTGGGAAACACTGGTCAAACAGGCCGGTCCAAATTGTGGGTTGAGATCTGGTGACTGTGAAGGTTACAGCATATGATTTATGTCCTTTTTCATACTCATGAAACCGTTCAGTGACCCCTCGTGCCCTTCGAATCGGGGCACTGTCATACTAGAGGAGACCACTCCCAAGTTTCATTATAGGATCATAGGATAAAGGTGATCAGTCAGAATAACTCTGCATTGCTTTGAAGGAACTCTCCCCTCTGAGGGAAATGTGGACCCAAATCATACCAGTAAATCACAAATCACAACCCCCCCCCAGCATTACAGGGTCAGTGAACCCCTGGGTCAGATATTCAGGCCTGTGCTGTTCTCCTGGTGTATGCCACACATGCACTTGCCCATTGCTGAGAACATAATGAAGGATGACTCATCTGTGTATATCACTTTTTTGTAAACCACATCTCTGTAGGCCAGTGTCTGTGGTTTTAGCACCACTGAACTCTTAAACATGCATTCGTCTTTGTAATGAGAGGTTTATGCACTGCAACCCAATAATAATATTCCTCAGTCTGGTCACATCCTGTATCGATGTTGCTCTTCTGTTTGTCCTACCGTGCTGCACTAATGTGCATCGCAGTCACTGAATGTGCACTTTTGATTCCAACTTACAGTCTTATTTACTGATGTTGTTCCCATAGAAGTAAATGCAGACGGTAATTAAGTCACCATTCTTACTGAAACTCGCCAGCTGAGCGGTGTTTGTGGCTTAAGCTCCTGTCATCAATGCCTTAATAATGAACCCTCTTTTAATCAAGAGTCAAGAGCCTGCTCAGTATATTTATACATGCTGCACAGCATGAAAGGATGTTAATAGCTTAATTGTACAGTCATGGGCAACATTTGGGCACCCATGGTCAAATGACATGTTCTGTATGCTGACTGAAAACAAGTTAATGCATCCTCTACAGAGAACTGTGTTATCATTTGAATGCACATTTCCTGAACTGAACATATTGGGGAATAAAATATAAACAGTGCAAAAGTTGTGGCACATTATATTTTATGTTTAATTTTTATACAGAAATAATACACTAAAGTTTGCAAAAAAATATCATATGCAAGCATGTCCTTGTAGAGTAAATGTAAGCATATTTTAGAAAACTGTTCATTTGACCAGGGGTGTGCAAACTTCTGCACATGACTGTATTGTGCAACATACCTCTCTGCAAGCATCTGCACTTGTTATGCTTCTCCACTCATTTAACCTCTTAAACTGCCAGCGCTCACAGTTTTATTACACACTTCTATAACTAAAGAACAGCTCAGCCGGTTTGAACTGAATCCCTGTAATTACTGAATAATAAGCCTTAGTATGTAATAAGCCTGGGCTTTTAAAGGTTAATTAGTCAAAAAATGCATGCAAATCGGTGTCCATCACTCATGCATTCCCAAATATTGGAAGTTCTGTTTCTTACCGTAAGACTAGTAGAAGAATTCTAAACAAACTGGCTATTTTTAAATGGAGTAATGGTGTTTAACTGAGTCATCAGCACTGCTGTGTTACTGGAGGCAGCCAGACGCAGTGAGGAGCTCTGATAGTGAAGAAGTGGAAGGTTCACACGGACAGCGCCTGCCATATTTGATTTACAGTGTGTCAGTCGCAATGGCCAGCAGGCCAGCGTACGCAGTACACGGCTCGCAGTCTGGAGTAGATGGAGGCATGTTCACACGTTCTGAAGTGTCAAAGAGAGAGAGAGAGAGAGAGAGAGAGAGAGAGAGAGAGAGAGACCACACGCTCCAGCAGCACCCAGCAGCCACAGCCTCAGAGCACTCTGGTGAGTGACCACATCCTGCACACAGGCTTGTACTTTCTCACTCGCATCTGCTGCTATTCTAGCTCTCTCACACACACACATAAACATTCTCTCTCTCTCTCTCTCTCTCTCTCTCTCTCTCTTGCTTTCTCTCTCTCACACACAGATTCTGTTTCTCCCTCTATTTATCTCACACATTCACCACATAAACTCTCTCTCTCTCTCTTTCTCTCTCTCTCTCTTTCTCTCTCTCTCTCTCTCCATCTCTGAGTCTCTGTCTCTCATGGGCAACAAATAAACAGATGTACAAAATACATACATTCTCTCTCTCTCTCTCTCTCTCTCTCTCTCTCTCTCTCTCGCTCTCTCGCTATCTATCTATCTGTCTTTATCTCACACATTTGCCACTTAAATTCTCTCTCTCTCTCTCTCAGTTCCTCTCTCTCTCTATCTTTATCACACATTTGCCACTTAAACTCTCTCTCTCTCTCTCTCTCTCTCTCTCTCTCTCTCTCTCTCTCTCTCTCTCTCTCTCTCTGCTACCTTGCAGAGACAGAGCTGTCAACACCAAAACATGCCAACCCTAATACACGAGCGAGCCGCACTGTGTGTTGTGGATTTGGTCATATCAGGCTGTGCGGACGATCGACGGAGCATAAGCAGGCTCGGACCGGCTGGACACATCGTGCTGCCTCAGCTGAGCAAGTATCGCTTTCAGAAAACTGGGTCACATAAAAAATAAAACACTACAATGCATCACGGAGGATAATTATTCACACTTATTATGAAATGCATTATTCATCGCGCTGAGCCCCACAGAGAGAGAATAAAGACAGCGGAAAAAGGGAAACAGGGGAATATGGCGCGGGGCAGATACGGCCTACGAAAGCTTAGAGCTTCCAAGCACCAAAGCTGGAAGAAGCCAGAGTGGAAAGGGATTATGAGGGAAAAGTGAAAGAGCATCTTGCCTGTTTCAGGCGCCACTGGTGGGCTGCTGGCTGTCTGGTGGAGGCGGGACTCTGAGGCCTGAGCCGAAGCTCTGTCGTGCTGGTGCAGGTCTGTGCACTGGAAACACAGCCACTTGTTGCAAAAGGTGCACAAACTCTGGGCCACTCTGGGCTCCGGACAGTCCGAACAACACTGAGAATACAAAAACAAGGATGAGACCTGGACCAATACAGTGGATGACCCCTTCAACACTCATCCTATTTACAAACATAGCACAGACTCAGCACTGGTATAATATAATAACAGAATAAGGGTCAGGCTGATACCAACAGAAAATGCAGGTGTAGATATCAGAGGAAAAAAGAATTCCGTAATGAAACAAGACGAAAATATCACAGAATTGCTCGTAGCGCAACATAAAGTAAAGTAGGTTACATGATAACTACGGACGCACTGGGCCAACGACAATACCCAGTATTCTTACATGTACATGTACACTGGGACTACATCAGAGGAATGTAACATTTACTTGCAGAGGGTTATAAAATTAATTAATCAACAGGCATTTTAGTGTAGAAGCCCTTCATCTCCAACACATTCTGCTCTCCAGTAAATTAATGTATCACCAAATATCAGTTTGACATATTGGTCAAATCCAATGCCAATACTACTCAGATACTATCGAGCGTCTTTACTGATAACAGTAGCCACAAGTGTCAAATTTAACACAAAAACGAGTAGCATTACACATCCTTTATTTGTGCTTTAGAGTGCTTTGAGTATAATATTTCACTTATCAGCTCATTTTAAAGCTTAGCAGGTTACAAAGAAAAAATAATTGGTTGGTATCACTTTCAGTTTCAGTATCAACGTTGGAAAATAAAAGCAGTACTGTACTACCTCTACTATTTCAACAACTGCAACAAAACTACTATGTAAACTGTATGCATGTAGTTGTGAGGGTGAAGAAGTGAAACGTAGAGCCACACAGTGATCCACTGGAGTTTAAGGGGTTAAACTCAGACTGAGCTGCTCTGTTACTCTCTAAAGCAGGGTTTAAATATCCAGCTCACCCCTGTAGAGACTTTCAGGCTCTTTGACTTGAGCTCTTTTGACTGGTTTCCAGGTTAATAAGTGTGAAACAGATTTGCCGTGTTTCAGTATTCCGGGAAAATTGGATTTGTCGATTTGCCTGTCAGTAGCCCTTGACTGACAGGGAAGCCTCCTGAGATCAAGTCCAGTGGGAGGTGCATTGGAAGAAAGTGGGCATGTCAGAGAGGCCACCCACCACATTTAAAAAAAAAGAGCCTTAGAACTACACAATAAGTTCAATTTGTGATGTTTTAACAAAAAAAATCATTTTGAATTCCAATGGCTTTTTCAAAGAGCTTTAAAAAGCTGATTAAAGAATGTAAATTTCACCTTTATTCTCCTGGCAGATCCAGACCATCCTCACTCTCACAGCGGCATACAGTACATATTACTTTCACGGCAGTTTCTAAATAATTCATAGTAGTTACAGCATAATAAATCTTAAGATTAGTAATGTAATAATAGGTTTAAGGGCTTGAAATAAGGGTCTTAAAAGAGGTAAGCTAACAAGTGCTCCTTCCAAAATATTAACAAGACGCTGAACAATGCAACACAAACACAAAGGCATGCATCATTCCAAACAATAACACGGCATTTAACAGCACGCAAAAGCACCAGCGCATTCCTCAACGCCCTCAGCAGAGGAGAGCGAGCGTGTCAGGGTCTTACCTTCTCCATGGCAGAGGCGTGATGCGAGGCTCCTCGGTGAGAGCGTGAGACGCTTCAGAGCTTCCAGCTCTCACTGCGCTCTAGAGCTCTGTGACAGCTCCTACCTGCGGCAGGAAGTAGTGCACGCTGCACACACTTCACACTTCAACCCCCAGCGGAGCCGCCTCCTGTGTGCCTCTCTCTCTCTCTCTCTCTCCGTCTCTCTCTCTCTGTGCGTGTCCTCGGGTGCAGCAAGCCGTGCTGGACTCCTCGCCGCCTCCCTACAGTGGCCTCCAGACCCACGCGCCTCCCGCCGACAGCCACCGTCATGATCCTTTTTCTTAACTAAGCCCTGTTCATAATAATTGGGAATTGGGGAGAGGTGATAATTATTTCTTTTCTAGGGCGAAACATCCCCGCAAGCCCTCCTTTTCCCAAAATGGAAGTGCCGAGTGACCTACAACGGTTTAAGAGGAAACGCAGTACGTGGCATGCATGAGGGGATAGCAGTACAATGTGTGTGTGTGTGTGTGTGTGTGTGTGGGCACAGGGGCGGCGAATCCTGCCCTCGCCCTCCTTCGCTCCTCACATCCCTGGATGGGCGAGAGGTGGGGGGACGGGTCCCACCGGAGCCGCGTAACACAGCGAAACGGGGTCATCCCGGGCTGCAGGACCAGATGGAAGCCGAGATCAGCTCTCAGAATGCCCCCCAAAGCGTGAAATCAATTAAGATTTTATCACACACGGCTCTGGAGGAAAGGAAGAAGCGCCGAGAGCTCCCCAAAAAATCTGCTTCACTACAGCTGTTATTAGCCGAGCTGCCACGATTAGTCGACGAAGTCGATTAGCCACGGACAACGTCGATTATGGAAGAGAGTTCACACATTGCTTAATTGGCTTCTTAACCTGCTGACTTATTAATCAGTTATTAATCTCAAAGCTCATTACTCAGTAGCTACTTGAAACTATACAAAACTATATAAAGCAAATATATAATCAAATAATGTGATCAGGAGACTGAAGAGCTGAACTCTGGATCCAGCAACAGGTTACTGAGGTTTGAGAGCTTAAAACAAAAACAGCTTATACGGCTCAATAATGTTAGACATTCCAACATACTGCTGTTCCACGGACGCAGTAGAGGTGATCTGGCCTCCACTCTTTAGGCTGTCACCATCAATTACATCATCATGTCAGTCATCATGTAATCTACCGAATATTCTGATGATTAATCAAATAATAAGAAACCATGTACAGAATATCAAAGACTCCAGGATACTTCACTGAAAAAAAAGGTAAAGACGCCCTTAAAAGACTTTATTTTTAAAAGCATATAAATAGATGCGTCGATCAGGCTCTGCAGGAAACCAGCAAGAGAATTCAAAACATGCATTACCATCATGCGAATGACAGCCTGCTGGAAATTTTTATTTGATGATTTTTTAGCAATGCTGCTAAATGGAGTTATAATAACTTTGAATAACCGAGTTTGGGAGGAGGAACATGCCTGAAACCCCGCCTCCTTACAATCTAACCCCCTATAAATTCACATCCTCACCTTTTGTTTTCTGTGACAAAATCCTCACAGTTCCCACCTCCACCTGATCTCCTTCCTGTCCCTCAGTCCAATGACAGGCCTACACCAGTTATAAGCGAGTCCGGCCTTATAGCTACAGGCAGAACCCGCCCAGAAATTCAGCCCAAGTTCTCAGAGTTCTCTCTCCTCCCTCAGCCCCTCCTCCCTCACACTACCACCACATGTTAAAGGCACAGTCCGAACTCGTGAATGATGATTCAGTACTCTGGACTGAGTTACCTGCACTGATTAATCTTCATGGTTTGTTTTTAAAGTGAAAAAACAAAAAAAGCTCTATTTTCTTTTCCAGTAAAGAACTTAAATGTAGTTTCAACCATTCACTAAAACAAGTGCAACTGCTAAGCAGATCAAGTTGTGCTGTAGTCCAGGCATCAAACGACTTCCCACGCAAAACATGAACATGGGCACAAGTGATCTGTTGTACAGACGTTCTAGCTACTGTAGGCTAACTTTGCATTGCCAGCTTTAGCCTCATTGTTATTATAAGTGATTCACAGGCTTTAAAGAAAAACATGTATTCACACTGCACTGTGCAAAAGTCAGACACCACCCTTCATTTAATCTCCAGATTTCTAGTCAAAATGGCCAATAAGTACAACTTATTCATTTCTTATTACTTATTCAACAACTAAATACAGTATGAAGCTTTCAGTATTTAGTGTCTCCCCGTTTCGTCTTTATTACAGCTTCTACTCAGGAGACTCGCTTTCAGTTTTTCAAAGAAATCTGCAGGGATATTTTTCTGCACCTCTAAAGTTCAGTCTTAGAAGTTGATTGCATTTTCTCCCTCCCACAATCCAAATAAACCCAGACACATTTGCTGATGTTGTGGTCTGTTGGTCCATTGCTCTGAGAACACTGATCAGATTCTTTGTTTGATATGCAAATTTTAATGTTTTTTTTTGTGTTCATTTTTGTCACTTTTGTGACATTTTTGCCCATTTCCTTTTTCGGTAACAGCTTCTTAACAGCTACACATCCTTTCAGCCCCATAGTGTTGAGTTGTGTTCTTACAGTGGAAGGATGGACAGAAGCACCTGTTGAATTTTTCAGACCTGAAGCAAAAGTGGAAGCTGATTTTCTCCTTAAACATAGCAGCTTTAAAGAGCCCATATCTATTGGCATCCTTGCATTTTATTTGAAACTTTCGATGTTTACATACTAGATCACTTTCCAAAAAGTGAGGAAAACTCATTTTCCCATAATGTGGGTTATTTTTCTAATTTGTTTATTTGGTCTACCAGGTCCTGCAATTTAGGTAACTCTTTGGCACTTTTTTCCTTTGAAAAAGAAATAACTTGTACTTATAATAACAGCTGCTTTGACTGGAGATGAAATATATGAAGGGTGGTCTCTGACTTTTGCACAGAAGTGCAGTAATGGTGATGAACTGTCCTAATGACTATTTAATTGTGTAACTGAGTTTAACTGAGTGATTGTAACAGCTCTATGCATTGTAAAAAACCGCCTGTTGCAGAAATGTAACTTTAAACGACTGTGACATCATCCAACGTTCAACAGCAGAGCGAGAGGAAATGGCAGAAAGTATAAACGTCTGATTCGCTGATTAGTTGATATAGAAATGACTGTAAGACACATCACTAGTTATCAGGCGGACGGATCAGGGAAAGGGGGGAGGGGGGAGGGGGTGAGTGGTGTGGCAGCGGTGTGGCTTAGTCAAGCAAAGTAAACAAGCCAAACAGAAATATCACACATCAGCACCGAGCAAAAAAAAAAACCCAGTATGAAACCACCTCTACCGCTGCGAGTCTGCCTGACAACAACCCCTGCAGCCTGACCTACAAATCTGACAACTCTCTCTTCCTCCAGAGCTGCACAGGGGAGCTTAAAACCAGCCGATTCCCCATTGTGTACTCGCAGACCCACTTTAAAACACAATTAGCCTAGCCAGGCACTCCGACTCGAGCTGGCGAGGCAGGCAGGCAGGCAGACGCGCCAGCATTTCAAAACTGCTGTCTTGCCTTTCATGCCCTTCCATTTAGCTTTTAAAACCAAAGAGCTCCCCCTCTCCCTCTCTCTCTCTCTCCCTCCCTCTCCCTCTGTCTCTCTCCTTGCCTCTCCCACTGCCAGCTATGGCTCCTCTTCCCTGCTAAGTGAATTCAGTGTGGGGTATGTTGCTGCCTGAGTGAGCACAGCTCTCTCCAGAGAGGGCACATTAATAGAAACTCAAGAGGAGAGGCTCTCCCCTGGAAGCGCACCTCGCTAACATCCATTAACATTGCGGTTATGAGATCACGATGAGGGAATGTCAGATTTATCCACAGCAGATGGTAATCTCATATTTCAACCTGCCCGTTTCATAACATCTTCATCGTTCCTCAAGGCACTGGTTCCCAACCCCAGTTCCAGGGACTACACACAACAATAGTTTTCCTGTGTCTTAACACACCTGACTCAGCAATGCAGAGCTGCTAATTACCTGATGAGCTCAATCAGGCGCAGGAAAAACACAGAAACGAACAGCCCAAGGGTCCGCAGGACTGGGGGTGAACATTTCTGGCTTACTGAAACGACAACGTGGGTAAATCCAAACTTTCCCAACTGAAAATATCAGATTTTTGTAAAACACTTATAAAATAATGTGCGAAACTGTTCAGTTAATAGGCTCAGTGTGGTTTTTAGTTATGTTAGTTAACTGATCTCTCTGTAACTGAACAGCCTGTTTGTCTTATTTTACATTTCTCTCTTCTGTAAAAAGGCATATTTGATATTTTAAATAATACAGTTGAGCTCAAAACACCAACTTCATATTTGGTATGTTTGTTAATTCATAACTGCTCTTTCCAGTGGTGTTATTTACTTTATGGCGGGCTTAGCCAGGCATGAGAAATATGCATTTGAAATGTGACAGTTTTCATTTTTCAAGGCTAATAAAGCAAAAGCCTTTATTACTCTATGACTAATTTTTGATGCAATGCACAAAAAATGCTGGAGAACTGTTTTTTGTTTTTTTTTTCCTTTCTGGTTTTGTTTTTTTTGGCAAGGTACAAAATGGCAAATATGTATCTCTGTTTTGGTAGTTAAACACATCTGCAGTGAAAGAATAATAGTCCTTGACAACTTCATAGCATTAATACTTCAAAAGTAATAAACTCAGCCGTTTGAACTCATTTAAAGGCAAAGACAAGAGCCATGTCAACTGTTTTTAAGATTATTTCAGAAACTGATGCACCGAACCTCTGAGCACAATGACATTATTTCTTAATAGTATTCAGCACATCTGAGATGGCCGGTCTGGTGGTGATTTCACATGGACCATCCAGGTTTTTTTGGAAAGCTGACGTCACACTGAAGACAAATAGGTGGTGACAGCTGGACAGTGTATTACTTCTGCTTCATTTAGAGGTGAGGCAATAGCTAAGCCTGCGGGGAGAAGCTTCTTCAGTGAAAACAGGGATTCTTCCTGAAATCCTCAATCGGGAATTACCAAAACAGTTTCACCATTCCCAACGCTGCTATCTGAGAGTGAAATCAGTAAACATTACTGAACTCTTACAGTCCTGTTGTGTAAAAGCCTGATGGTGTGTGGCTCCAAAGGCCTGGCAGAAGCATCATTTGGAAAGTGGGACTCTAGATGGTTCATTTCAGAGACACAAACCTCTTCCTCAGT